TGGATTTCCATAAAATGTTCCCACACCTGCGAACGTCTGCTGGCCCCGGTGGCCTGCACCTTCGACAAGGTGCCACCGTCCAAACCAGTTACTACATCTTCGCGTTTATACACTTTCTCCGAAAAGGAATGCAAACGTTTTTTGCCTGAACTAGTCTTAGGTGCTGAAGCATCTTCGTCGCTGGAAATCTCGATCGCATCTTCTGACATCGCGAATTACAAAAATAAAAAGCTTCTGTTGCAGAAATTGATGAAAACAACTACATACTTGGTATTTGTTTTAGCAGTTTTTGACACTTGACTTGAATAAATGCGCGCAGTGCCGCGCACATGCGACGCGGCAACCATGGCGTGCGCGCGCGTCGGTAATCTTCGGGTGAGGGTGGTAGCGCTTTACGGTGAATAAGTACTGTACTTCCGCTCTTACTGCTTATTGTTTGCTACATAACGCCACGCATGGGGAGCACGCAATAATCACAGACAAAACAAATTTTTAAAAATTTAAATAATAATTACGGATAATTCGGATTCACAACTGCATCCGAAACCGGTCCATTTAGAACGGCCTAATCTCCGAAACCACTCCTAATCCGAAGTTTGTTAACGAAAACCCGTCCAAACCGCTCCGAAAATCGGAGTGGATGCGGAGCGGTTCGGATTTACCAATCCGTTGCAGGGCTCTAATGTGTGTAGCAAAAAATATTCAGAACATTACATTTTCTGATTTCGAATTTAATTTCAAACGATTTCAAAATGTCCAAGAACTGTTTAAATTTTAACCCTAGAAAAAAGCACCACTCCAAAGCTTAAGGTTTAAAAATTATTGCATTTGCCACCCCCAAAAAGGCCCCCCTCCGGGCGCTCGAACTATTTGCCCCCTAAGGGTGCGAATTCGTGTCTTATCATCTCATCACGAAGATGAAAAAATCTGAGGAAAGTATGACAAACTGTTACCGCTTGATTGGCAGCCAATGGAGTCGCCATCTGACGTTGCAAATATAAAAAATGCTGGCTCAGAAGCGTGCACACCACATGGCATCGGGAGTTTAATCGGCATTTGAAGATCTCCCGGCGCAGCTGGGACGAGCCGTCCGACCAGAATGCGGCGGGGAGTGGACACAAACGAATAACAAGTGCATGCTGCTGCACGCGGCGTTCTTGGAAGTCCGCCTCCGAAGGCGTACCGCGTACTTGCTGACACGGGACCACCTGGCGGACGGTGCCTTGGGGCAGTTGCACATCCAGCAGTTGAGCACTGTGGGTGCTGAAGGGCCACTGCGCGACCACCCGCCCGGGGTACCAGATCCAGGCGCCGTCCGGATAGCGGCGCAGCAGGGCCTGTTTGTCTGGTTCACCGCCATGGTGCGTGGCGGCAAAGGGGTACTGCACAGTGGAGGGGCAATGAAACACCCGTCCGTATTCGACAAACTGCGCAGCGCTGGTTGGCACAGCGGAAATCGATAATCAGGCCGCCCTGCGCCAGGTTGATGACGTCGCCGTGCTGCAGGTGGCCGTCGATGTGGACATCCACGGCATTCCAGTCGTCCACCCTACCATCGTCGTTGTACATTGCCATCGTGCTCACAGCATGCAATTTAATTAGTTTACTGCGGTTACTGCCAAGCGTTCGAGATGGATTCACACTAAGGAAGGCAGTCTTTCTACTAACGAGTAAAAAAGAGAAGATTAAGAAGTGTGGATATTTGACGATATACAGACGATTTACAGAAGTTTAGTAAAAATGTAAAACAAAAAATTCATTTTTTCATTCGAAGAGCCCAATTCAGTTGGGCCAACTGCTAAGTAAACCGAAAGTGCAGCGAAATAATATAATTCTGGATCAAGTTTCTTTTACAGGGTGCCGTCAACGCCACTGCCGTCGCAAGGCGGTTCGCAAAGGGGGCAAGACAAAAGCGCCGCCGAATTGGGCATTGCAAAGCTGGAATCAGGAATAGACAAGTTGTCTCTGCGTTCGCGAACTCGGGAACCGGAAAAAAGCCGAACCGTGGCAAAAAACGGTAGCGATTTGACCCCGAGTGCCAACAGAAATAATCAACCAGCTGCAGCAAATCGTATAGACATTTTCAACCGGAAATGCTCAGAAAATTGATAATGTTTTGCGCTGTTTTTCCCCGGATGGCATAGTTCCGCTTGCAAATGCAGATAACATTAAAATTCGGATCGAAATCCGCTGTCGTAAGGTTTCTTTGGCGCTTGGTTGCCCTGTAGCGGGTGTAGTGAGGTTTCCTTTATTTGAATTCGAAGGGTAGCATCTTGAATGTTCCCAAATCCCAGTTTCGAATAGTAATGGTCATTTGACATCAATGATTGGTTGTTTGACTGCATTATGATTCATAACGTCTGATAACGATTCTCCACATTTCTATGGATTTTTACCGGCTTTCTCTCGATGTCAAGAATTTTCACTTTAGTCTTTGAACGCTTGGTTCTCTTGCCGCTACTCTTGCCTGAGTTCTTGCTGATTCTCTTGCAGTAAGAAACCTTGCTATGCGTTGAGTATGCGTTGCTCCGTTTGACCGCTTGGGATGAATCGCCTCATCCCAACCGGTGTGTAGTGTATGTAGTACTCGTACAAAGATCGTACGAGTATCTCGTGAAATGGATAATGGCCTATGGCTAATGTGCCGTAGCAACGGTATTGTTGTTGTCCGTTATTGTTGCCATGTCTAGTGTTTAGTTGGTTGTTTGCTGCTGTCCCGAGCGGACATAATAGCGAATTTTAGATTTCACAAAACAAGTTCCGTCTAGTTCCACTTGCGGGTAGAAGTTAGCGTTACGGGTCGATTTACGTCCGTTCGCGACGTAAGGCGCCGTAACCCAACGTCGTTGGCTGACGCGTAAAAACTGCCTGCCTTGCGTGGATCTGTGCAACGGCTCAGCCGTATGGCTGAGCGACAAGCCAGCGCATGCTGCCTGTGGATCTTTTTTATGCGCTCTAACCGCCTCCCCGAGAGCAGGTTGGTCACGCTCTCGGCACTCTCGACTCGATTTATTTTTCAGCTGTACGTCACTGCAAGTGTGCATCCGTACAAGCATTTTAAACGCTGTTCAATCTGGTAACGTACTGTTTATGTGACGCAGTAGTTTCTAGTGGACGGAGCCTGAACCATGTGAAATCTAAAATTCCCTAATAAAAGATTATGCCGTTCGTTCAATACATGACAAGGGCGTGATAAGGATGTAGCTTTGTGTCAGAGGGGCGTATGTGCCCAGAGTAACGACACCTCGAGCGGAGCGACAGCGAAGGATGCAGACCACTCCATCCGGGACAGCGGATGTCAAATATACTGGGAAGAAGGCCAGAAATAGGAAAGGTCAGAAGGACGATCCTAAAGGCCGAGTGAACCCCGTGATGGAAGCCAGAGTAATGAATGGCCAGTGCCATCCGGAGGAAGCAATGGAGGAGAGAGTTATCCTCAAAGTGAAGCCAGAGATGGAACCGAGAAGAAAGCGGTTGTCCATCCGAAGGGCGAGAAGAGTGAAATGGAATTATCCCGACAGGATGCCAATGAAGGGCGTGACCTGCGGAGTGAAAGTGAATGTCGGACGTTCCTCCATGAAAGGAAGGAGAGTGCCAGGAGCTGCCGAAGGGCGTTGCCTGTGAAGGACGCAGTGGCATACCGTACAAGAGCGCAGTGGCGAACTTTTCGTAAGGACCAGCAAAGGTTGCTAGGGAAGTACGAAAGTTTTATTGCAATGATAAGTTACGTACTAACATGCTTTTGCATAATGATGATGCGCATGAGGCATGAACACGTACGTACAAAGTGCATGAAATGTTTGTACTTTTGGTTTTCAAAAGTGAAGGGCGAGTGTAGTGTATGTAGTACTCGTACAAAGATTGTACGAGTATCTCGTGAAATGGATAATGGCCTATGGCTAATGTGCCGTAGCAACGGTATTGTTGTTGTCCGTTATTGTTGCCATGTCTAGTGTTTAGTTGGTTGTTTGCTGCTGTCCCGAGCGGACATAATAAAAGATTATGCCGTTCGTTTCATACATGACACGGTGCCATCTAATTAATTGTAAAGCCACACCGGATCGTTTCACTTACGGCCGTACCAACCTTACATTACATAACAGCCGCATAATCGTGGATTCGTGGTAAAGACTGATCGTCAACCCACTAGAACAGTAGCCAGATAGGCGACTGTTGCAGTATAATCCGCGCCGGCTAAAATGACGAAAAAATCTAACGACCGCGTTCACTAAAAAGCACTAAAAAGCTCTACCAAAGAAAACACAGGAAGCATCGTTATTGTCACCATCCTTCTACTATCACCTACTCGTAGATACAGCACGCAGATAACGCTAAAAAAAGCAAAACTAAAGCAGAAACCATTTCAAGGTAAGCATCCAGTGCCCAGCTAATCAGAGTAATCACTATCATCGCTACTCGAATCCTCAATGTCCTCGATCTCAATCCCTTCGCTCAAGACGACCGCCGTCAGGGTGGTCAGCTTACTGGCGTCCAGACCGGCCAGCGCAGCCGGCGCCCACTTGCGAATGCGGTAATGAGTTGCCGGCCGCGGATCCACGCGCTGGTACTCATTCAACGCCTGCAAAATCACACTCATCAGAGGACAATTAAAATCGTTATAGTTAATACCAGATGCCGAAGCCCCTAATCAGCTCTTGATAATAAAGGACAAGCAATTATACTTCGGAATTTACTTACCCCATTCCCGACGCCCCCACAATACGGACTCACGTACCGAAAACCAGACAGATATTCTCTGCGCTGTTCCACATTAGAAAACTTGAACAATTTTTACGAAACTCGTGTACAAGCATTATATAAGAAACACAAATTATCACGTAACCGAGTTTTAAAAAAGTTTTCGTCGTGTGTAACAACGCGGAACGTTATATCGCGTCTCTGGTGTTCGGTACGCGAGTCCATAAAGTATAGTGAAAACGTCCGAAATGAGAAAAGTATGCGACGAACAATTATGCGACAACGATCGACCTGCCTTCACAATCTGTTCTTCCGTTAGTTCGCTGGATCGGTGAGCGATGCAGTCGGCAATCGATGTCGCTAAAGCCGGCTGATTCAACGGCTTCGTCAGGACGAGATGCTGCTCGAAGACATCGCACAACTCACCCTCCAACGCGTCCCCCGACAGGGCAGTGAATGCGTGCTGTGCTACCGCCGCTTTCAACTTTAAATTGCGATCATACATATCGCATTTCTTCCACACCACCCGCTCGCACGCCGACCCCTCGCCGAACGTTCGAACAGCGCAGTCCATGACACCCCGGATACCGGACAACTCCTCGCCGAACTCGCAGTCGTAGAACACCACCAGGGGGGATCTTGACCGGTTCGAGGAGCATACCCAGGAGAGCCGTCAATTCCACGCACTGATATAATCCGACAGACGAGATAATCACCATCTTGGTGCGACTGCTGACACATCGGAGCAAGCAGGCCCCTGCCCAGTAGATACCCGGACCCGCAAACGTCAGAACGCCGTAATCCGGGTGACCGGCGGATACACGCACATCGGGAAAGTAGGCTTCCGTGGTGAGAATGTCGTTCCACAGCGGACAGACACGCCGACAGCGGACGCGCCCAATGGAGTCCAGCGACTGGAAGATCTCCACCAGCAGCTCAGCCGGCAGCGGCAGACTAGCCGCTCCAGCTCCACCCGAAGTTTTTCGCGGTTTATTAGCTACATCCGCCCGCTGACGGAGTACCAACTGCAGATGCGCAGTATCTCTTGGGCGTCGACGTCTCTCTTCTTTCTTCACCTGTTTGAATATTCCATCCTACAAGAATCAATCGGTTTTTGCTGCACTAGCTTTTGAGACTCTAGGGTCCTGGGGAAAATCTGCAACAGTTTAAATGAGAAAAATCGGCTTAAGAGCCTTGTAGGCTAAGCGTACTCAAATTTCTTCGCCAACGTCTAGCTTTAGATCGAAATTCAACCGGGTATCGCGCTTTCCGCATTCGAGATTATGGATCGAACGAATAATTAAGAAAAATCTTGCTGTTGTGATTAATTCCCTTTTTTTTACAAAACTTCAGCACTAACCAATACAATGTTGTCAGTGTTGGTTACGTACTGGAAATATGTTTTATTTGCATCACACTCCAAACTTCAAATCGTTTAGGAGAATCCGTCCGAGCTTCGAGCATTCAAAATGGCTTGAAAGAAAACTGTATATTTTAAAAATATTTAATTGAATAATTTCACGCGTGCAGAAATTATCAAATTAAATTATTATTAATCAATTATTTGAAAAATGCAACAGAATAATTTTAAATAAATACTTGCGGGAGGGAGTTATTTGCACCATAGGGGTGTTAATTCGGTTTGAACGGTATCATTATCATCACGAACTATTTAATAATCAGCAAAAGTCTTACCACTTGATCAGCAGTCAAAGGAGCCTTATTTTGACGCTGCAGATACACGACGGTCTGGCTGAGTACCGAGGTGCACACCACCTGGTATCGGTAGTTCAATCGGCACTGGAAGAGCTCCCGGCGCAACTCCGAACCCTCGGCCAAGAAAGCCGCGGGTAACTGGCACGAGCGAATAACAAAGTCATCGTTCCCGACGCGTAGCTCCTCCCAGTCCGCCTCTGACGGAATGGTGCGGACTTGGTGAAAATGGACCACCTGGCGGACGGCACCCGCGGGCAGCTCGACATCCAGGAGTTGCGCGCTGTCGCTGCTGAAGCGCCACATGTTTACCACTCGCCCGGTGTACCAGATCCAGGCACCGTCCGGATAGCGGCGCAGCAGTGCCTGCTTTTCGGGTTGAAAGCTGTGCTGCGTGGAGTGGGGGCTGTGGTATACCCGGTCGAATTCGACAAACAGCGCACGCTGCTTGGCACAGCGGAAATCAATGATCAATCCGCCCGGCGCCACGTTGATGACGTCGCCGTGCTGTAGGTGATCGTCGACGCGAACGTCCACGGCGTTCCAACCGTGCACCGAGCCCTCCTCGCCGTACATGGCCATCGTGGAATTTCTACTGGTCTTACACTGTAAAGTATTCGTCTGTTAATTATCGAGTATTGCCAGTCGCTCGAGACAGATTTTGATTAAAGACGCTGAACATGTCTAATAACAAACGGCACGAGTAAAAAACTACTTCTATGGAAAATTTGTTGTCATCATGAATTCCTGATCAGAAGAGTTCAAAATTAAAGTATAGCCACTAGGCCCACTACTACTAGTACTTGTTGCTAAAGTGAATTGAGTTTTAATTAAAAACTGCCGTCGCAAGGCGGTTCTCCGTGGGGCAGCAGCTTGCGATGCAAATTCGCAGTAACCTGTTGAACTTGTCTCATGGGCAACCGCTGTTTAATGGCAGTTATCGTTCAGAAACCGTGCACGTTCTTTCATGTTTATAAGTAAATTTTTGCTGCGCTGTATGCTCGTGGTTTTCGTGTTTTGCTCTCTATAATTTTTTCCACTGTCATGATATCTCCTTAGTCTTATCAAATTCGTGGTAAGATTGTTAAATGTTTTGATTATCATCCTTCTGGAATACTTGTTAGACCCATCAGCGTTATCTGAGAAGCCTGATTGCGATAGCGCAGCGTATCTCATCGAGCCGTTCCTTCGCATTCTTTGGCTATGTTAATCTACGGGGACGCGACCCACCCCGTATGGGCCTGGAACGCCGTCGACGTCCTCATCAACAACCAGCTGCAGCACGGCGACGTCATCAACACCGCCGCGGGCGGCCTGCTCATCGATTTCCGCACACCCACCCAGCGCGCCGAATTCGTCGCCTTCGGATCCATCTTCCACTGCAACACCCACACCTACTGGTCCCCGACCGAGGACGACCCCGTGGAGGTCCTGTTACGCCGTCATCCCGCTGCCCCGTGGATCTGGTACCCGGGGACCATACTGTCCATGGGGAACTACGATCCGGATGATGTGCAGCTCGTGGAGGTGCAGCTGCCCCATGGGGGTGCCCGGGAGTTGGTCCCCGCGGAGCAGGTGCGCCCGGCGCCCGCGGAGGGGGAGGCTGAGAAGCGCAGGGTGTTAGCGGGGGATTTTGTGGTGCGAGGGTGTGCCCTGCCGTACTGGGCCAAAGAGCTGGGGGAGGGGTTCCCGGAGGAAGTACAGCGACGCTTCCAGGTGCGGTGTACCGTGGTGAACGATCAGACGTTCTCGTATCTGCAGCGACAGAAGTCCGTTCCATTGTCTGTCAAGCGACTGGTAAGTTACTAATCCAACAAATATATAAATATTCACGGCAGCTTAACGAAGAAGAAATTCGCGTTAGCAAGAGAATATTTTTTCCAGGAGAAAAAATATTCGATTATTTTTGTCGTGTTTAAATTGTTTAATTTATATTTTTTTTTAAATTTGCGTTTTTCGTTTGGAATTGTTTCTAGAATCTGGCGTTAAATGGAATTTGGAATTTTTGTATTTAGTCGTCAAATTAATTTTACATTGGGCGGTGTTTGGATTTGTGGTCTGAAATTAGTTTGTTATTTATTTATAGCTTTTTTACATTATCCTTTTCGAGAGCTTATTTTTAGTTGAAACTTTATTTGGTATTTATTTTTTCTGAAGTTTCAGGTGTTCCATTTTCTTTTTTTCCGAATTATTTTAAACCGGTTTATTAATATTTTTCAATTTTCATTTTCAATTTTTCCCTTGTGAAATTATGTTATCCTCTAAAGTTGGTCTTATGTTTGGATTTTAGTCGTTTTAGCTCAATTTTCAGAAGTTTTTATTGAATTTTCTTATTGAATTGAATTACCTTTTATTGAATTTTGAAAATCATTATTAGTCTGATCGGTAACTCCATTTATTTTTCGTACAGGATGACTCGTACGAAATGCCGGGACCGCCGAACACCCGCCGCGGCATCTCCCGCGCACTGCTCCACGAGATCCTCCACTCAATGTTCGACGCACCCCCCACGGACCCCGGCACTCCCGACGACCCCGCCGTCGCGCTGCCGCTGCCGGCGGTGCTGCTGCTGGAGGTCCTCGGCGCCCTGGACTCGGTCGGGCGCTTCCGCTGTCGCCGCGTCAGTCCCCTGTGGAACGATCTCCTCACCACGGAGGCCCACTTCCCGGACGTCCGCGTGTCGGCCAACGAGGTGGGCAAGTACGGGACGGTGCATTTCTCCGAGGACGGGCTGTACTGGATGGCGGCCGCGCTGCTCAAGTGTCTCAACGGTCGCACCAAGATGGCGATTATCACGCATGTGGACCTGCATCGCTGCACGGAAATCACCAAACTGGTCACGCATATCTTGACAGGTACGGGTAAGAACCGCAATTTTCGGACGGTCCCATACATCTCAAGCGTCAGATGAAATTGTTTCTTAAATTAACGCGGCTTGGAGTATTAGCTACGTCTCCAGATGAAAATATAATTTTCAAATTAATTTTTAATCTTTTTTGGGGTTTTAAAGAAAATGGCCCGGTACATACATGGCGTTAAAAATGGGATATAATGCCCAATATATACACTAAAACTGTCGCTTTCGCGCACTCCGAATCACTTTTTTGTAATACTTTAGATCATTCTATAGCTGAATGATTTGTATAAATTGTTCTGAAAACCGTTTGCGCTCGCAATATCTGATTGCCGAGATGTACCGTACTAAAATGGGTGCAAAGTTTAAATGCATTGTTGTGTAGCAAAAGTCTGGTTATCATCCGATCTTCTTGAAACTTTGTGGCAAAAGACAAATGACCATGAAGTCGAAAGTGAACCAATTTTAGGTTCAAAGCATTTTCCCATAATTTTAAAATGAATTTTGAAACTTTTGAAATTCATTTTAAAATCTGAAACACATGCTATGAGTCTGATATCCGTTCACTTTCGACTTTATGGTCATGTGTCTTTTGCAGCAAAGTTTCAAGAAGACCGGGTAATAACCAGACTTTTGGTACACATAATGCACTTAAACTTTTCACCCATTTTGGTATGCCATATCTCGGCAACCGGATGTTGCGCGCCCAAACGGTTTTCAGAACAATGTTTACAAATCACTTAGCTTTAGAAAGGCATAAAGTATTACAAAAAAATGATACGGAGTCCGCGGAAGCGGAAGTTTTAGTGTACGTATCCATTTTTGGCACCATGTACCGGGCCATTTCCCTTAAGTTATCCCAAAACAGTTACTGCTCGCGGAATTTATTTATAAACAATTTAACTGATTTAAAATTGACAAAAAATTCTCGAGGTGAAAACTGAATTTTCAAATCAACTTTTTATTTTTAAATGAACACAAGAAAGTTTAAAAATTAAAAAATTAACGAAAATAATTTTCAATATGTGGCTGATTAAAGTCACCTTTAGGCATTAATTGTGTTTTGCTTCTATTGTTGCAATAAAAAGAATTATAATAATTCTGAAAAAGTTCTACAACCGAGAAGTGATGAAACGCCGGTGTAATAATTGTCGGTTTCATAAATTCGTAAGGGATAACTCTTGAAAATGATCATAATTCGATCAGTAAATAATAGTACAAGCATTTCTTTCAATTTACTTTGGTATACCTGGTTTTTTAGGTATTGGCAATTCATCTTGCAATTTTTAATTTTTTTTCGAAATCAATCGGCTGGTCAGGAATTTGAATCGGTTATAAATGAATGATTTTATTTGATTAAAAAGTCCGATGTCATTCATTTCGAGATTGATCAACCATTGGTTTCGTCATGTGTAGACGTACAGAAATTTGTCATATCGTCAGAGTGCGTTTTGTTCCTTAAGTTTCCAAGTGTTTTGATGCACATGATTTTGTGATGGATCCCGCGTTTCTCGCTGGATTTCTACTGGCGTTCAATTTCCCTGTGCCAGTCGCACCGTGGTTTGCACCCTCTTGCTCTGAAGGATATAAACGCGATTCGAGGGCTGCGCCGCAGGAGGGGGCCCGCATGAAGCTTTAGTCTGTTGCCGGGTTGTGCCCGGCGGCCTTGTCCCGCAGGCATCCACGAGCCACCCGATAGTAAGGTCAGTCGGTCTTCATTGGGAGTATCGATAAGGAGCCCTGCTCGTTTTGAAACAGCCATTTTGCAGAGGAGAACTTACCATCGCGTCCAGCCGATCCCACGCCGCTACCACCTCCTACGGATCCCGCAGCTAACTCTAAGGGAGCAGCTACGAGAAAATCACCCGGAATGCCATTACCGCGACCACGACTTCTCTGGTCACATCCGCAGATTCGACGCCATCTCCGGATTCGACGCCTTGTTTTCGGTGATCCATATTTTTCCCCGCGGCTCAACATCTGGACTTTGGCTTACTTCCGCAGCTCCTACAACTGTTCAACGAGCGTTCTATCTCCCTTTATAAAGGCCTTGCTGCCGCTTTGATTCTGAAAGTAGATTGAAACATCCTATTTGAGATAAGATCAATCTGCTTGCTCTTAGAAAGAAAAGTGGCGGCCTTCGCCCGGGAGTGGTAGGACGAACGGCCAACAACCCTACGTCGTCAGGCAGCGAGAAGCATAATTGCCTCCGATTTAGTGGATTTCACCGCCGATTCGAAAGGCTGATTTTAAAATTCGTTCGACAGCGCCTCCACGGAACGCCGGTGTTTCCTTCCCAAAAGATTATGGCGATTATTCCTCATTATTTGTTGAATGGCTTGTAATGCCATCTGAGTCGGTATTGCAGCAGGGGGACCCGCTGTACCCGCCGGGCGGTAAACCTGCGACTGCGGTAAACGCCTTTGCCAGTTTGCCTTGTGATGAACGACGAGCTTTACGTTTCAGGTAGAACAGGGGAAAGGAACGTCAGTGCGTATTAAACCGATGTCCACATCTTGATAAACGGCGGTTTCATGCTGTTAAGAGCTCAGGTTCTCCACGACGCCACTGACCCTGCAGTTGCCGAAAATAACCCCAGTACTACAGTTGGCCTGCAGTTTTGAAAAGTTTTATTTTGGAGCGCCAGAATTGTTTGTATGCTGCGCCGCTGCTACGCCTGGAAGCAACCGCAGCAGCTGTACCAGCTGGACGAAGTCATGCGCATCTGTTTTCGGTTTTTCTGCAATGTATGCAGTAACAATGACTGCTACTGATGCTGGCGGCAGGCGGCACTCCTAGAGAGAAGCGGCAATTGGTATACGTCGAGCGGAAGAATTAGCCATCCCAGTCGTTTTGGCGTCGAGGCACTCCGCATCTTGACTCAGCCCGTTCCGGAAGCCGGCTTACAGCTGAATGCCTTGCCCTCGGCACACACCGGTGACACTCAGGATGACGATACGGTAAAGGTATCGGTCGGGTTGAAATTTCGCGCAACATTCTGAACCGCTTTTGTGTGCAAAATGCCACAAGCCTATGGATGCAAACGGTAATCCCGGCTTCTTTTTCTCTTGGGTGATACCTACGGTCCTACGTCGCGGCGTGATAAACAGTATAGTATCGTATGCAGGTCGTTAGTGTCATCCGGCATCCGTGCAACTTGGAGTGGAGGCAGTCGCGCCCAAGTAAGACTTGCACGTCCGTTGGCGTCGGTTGGACAAAGAACGTGTCGTGGCTCTTGTATTCCTCCAAAGTCACCGGTACGGTGCAGCATTGGGAGACCACAAAGACGGTTTGTTCGCCGACAAGAATTTTGGTGTTCCGCTACAACTGAAGCTGGAACTCCGGCAAACGTTCCATACATCAGGCCATCGTCTTCACGGCTGCGCTGCCTTTGCTTGGAAAAGCGGTACGTGCCTGGCATGGGATGTGACTTGCGAGGATAGCTGCTTAAACTTTGTCACACCTGAGATCCACACCAATAACCGCGGGATCCCACGCCGCGCAAGCTGACGAATTGAGATCTTGATTGAATTTATATCCGGAGGGCAAAAATGTCTTGTTTTTTTTCGATTTTCAAATGTAATCGCGTTTAATCAATATAAATAGCTGCAAATGTAAGCAAGGTAGCCTCGCGCTCGGCACATAAGTACTGGAAATTATGAATATTTTCAAAGGATACATAAGCATAGGGGAAATTATGAATCTTTTGGATAATTAAGAAGGTGTTGGAAAATGTGATTTATTTATCGTATAGCTATATCGTATAGCTATATACGCTTTCGTAGTCGTATTTTATAAGACATAAAAACGTGCTAAGGTTTTAATGTTCTACGTTCTGGTGTTCTGATGTTTCACGTTTTGATTTTCTAAAGTTCTGACCTTCTATAAATAACTAAGATATTGTTGTTGTTAAGAAATGTTAATTTATGAATGCGCAATGTTAAGGAAACTTCATTGTAAAATAATTTGCCTAATCGGTTGTTTATTGTTCGTTCTTCTGTCAAACTCTCTAACGCAGAAAAATTTAGCCACATCAAAGCATCTACGTGAGATTTCTCCAATTTTAATGGACTTAGTGCTCAACATAGCTCAGCTACCGACTCAACCACAATCTTGCTCCTGTTGATTTTCCATTTACTTTCTCTCCTTAATTTAGAAAAATATTCAGATGAATTGCATAACATCATTATTTTAATTTAATATTATTTAATTTCCTTTCAATTTCACTGTAAAGTATTTCAAAAACGTCCCAAAACTGTCTGGCTTTCCAGGCAACCGCATACCGGCGCTGGTCTTCTACGAATGCGGTTTCGGCGATGAGGGGGATTTTATCCGGGACGTCGTGCACCGCGTGGCTGCCTTGGTGGTGCAGCGTGCGGTGTGCTGCGAGCGGGTGGTGTGGCGGAAGTGTCGTCTCTTCGATCACAATGTCAAGGCAGCGATCGCGCACTATTCCTTCAGCGTTGCGTCCATTGAGCAGGTGAGGTTAAAGCTGACTTTCCGCGTATTTTCTCTGTTAGCATAAAATAGAAATTAAACGAAATACTAATGATTTCCATCTTAGGTGAAGCTGCAGTTGTGGGATCTCTTCGAGAAGAATCTCGTTCTCCGCAAACCGTTCAATCGAGCGGCTGTGACGCGATGGATTGCTGAATGCATTCGGCAGAAGCGCATCAAGGACCTTGACCGGAAAATTGTGAAGGTGAGAAAAACAGTAATATCGATGGAGTTAAAGAAAATGAAGAGCTTGGGTGTTTTGGCAGGCGCTGAATTACTACCAGAGCCCGGATCCCCGCGCGTCCACGCCCTACCGCCAGTGGCAGTGGAGCCTGTCGATCATTAGCGAGTTGGATGCCACACAGCTGACCACGCTGACGGCTGCCGCCTTGAGCGATGGCATCGATACACATTACTGATTTCCTGAACATGTTGCATGCGAATTCTCTTTACGTGAAATATTTACTCAGCTTTAAGGTTGTTACAAAGGGAAATAAACTCGCAGTGATATGTTTACATGAGCCGGAAAAGTAAGGGTGGAAAAACAGCCACTGTTACATAGCTTAAGGGATTTGGCCCGGTACATAGCACCAAATTCGTGTACATCCATGGGAACTTTCGCTGTCGCGCACTCCCAAACAGTTTTTTGCATTGTGTTATGGTATTTTGTAGCCAAAAGACTTGTATACATAGGCGTGACATCCGTTTTTGCGCGTAACATCCGGTTCGGGAGTTATGGCTGTTAGGAAATTCCAAAAAGCTTAAATGCATTCAGGTGTACCAAAAGTCTCATTATGGACCGATCCCTTTCAAATTTTGCACGTAAATGCGCATAGCCAGGAAGATCGTTCTTACACCGATCCACTGTTATAGCATGTTTTTAAAATTTTAAAATGAATTTCAAAGATTTTAAAATTTTAAAAAAATCGTGGAAGTCTGGTTCCGTGTCAGAACGATCTTCATGCTTATGTGCATTTACGTGCAAAATTTGAAAGGGATCGGTCCATAATGAGACTTTTGGTACACCTGAACGCATTTAAACTTTTTGGAATTTTGCAGCAGCCATAACTCCCGAACCGGATGTTGCGCGCAAAAACGGATTTCACGCCTATGTCTACAAATCATTTGGCTACACAATGTCAACAAGCAACCCAAAAAAGTGTTTGGAAGTGCGCGAAAGCGAATGTTCCCGCGTATGTACACCAAAGTGCATGGTGCTATGTACCGGGCCAAATCCCTTAAAAGGTTGATTGGAATACGGTTGACCGTGAGCTCTACTCGCTGAAGCGGCTATAGCCTAGAAGCAGATCGAACCGGTGACCTTAATGCAGTTTTTGTACAACAGAGCTTGCACTTTAAGAGACTCGCATACAATACGAAAATCCAATATTTACAAACAGCTAAACACAACAGAAACAGCTAAAAATACGAAAACGCTGGTTTTTCCAAGAGAAGCTTTTCCGCGGGTGGCTGGTGATATTCTGTTTCACAACTTCAACTAGGGTCTAGGTATATCACAATTGGCAACAAATTATAACAATTTCCTTGTAAGTGCTTGCATTTATAATTCGAAGAACTGAAACAAAAAGCTCTGGGGCAAAACTGACTCCCGTTCTTACTTTTTTTTACGGTTGCTGCAAAATTTTAATCCGATATGCGATCGAAGTATGAACCGAGCATGACAGGACCCGAAACACAAGATTAACATTCCATAATTTTGAGTACTTCAAGACAGTTCTAGTACATGTACAACGCTGCAAAAGTAGCTATTTGCGAGCACCACCACAGCGCTACAGAACAGCCAGAGGGCCTTCAGAAAACCCGCAAGCTTGATCTTTGAAACGAAATTTCCACAGCAACAGAAACCTTTTAATGGTCGACTGTACCGTGGACTTCATAAAGGTGATGATACTGTCAGAGGCTACCCGAAGGGAGGGCGGCCAGATGACTTCCGAAAGAATTTCCTGTGGAGGAAATTCTGAAAAATGGCGATGGAGCGGCATCGAAGAGCTGGCTACCGATTGTGATCCAAGTAGCACTGCCATTGTGAAATTCCCATTCGACCAGGTGAAATTTATGGCGGAGTTGTTGGTGTTATTACCGAAGGGCATCGTCGAATGATCCATGGAACAGTACGCACAAATTACTGGGAAATAGAATGACGCCACGCCTTCTCGAACATTCAGGCTAGATTATGTCAAGAATGGAAGCTGTGGACTAGGATGAGGGAATTTGTAAATCGACTTATCATGCAATCCTGAATCCTTCTTCAAAAACAAGGAACACACGTATAAAGCGCGGATGGTCTACTTCGAAGACCATTTGAAAATCTGACCATCGCAAGATCAGTGCTTCCTGTTTTTATACAGTCAACGTTCTGATGCCGTAGTAAGTTATACGCTTTTACATATGGCGGAAGCAGTGCGTTCCGACGCATCGTGCATCTGGATAGTTGCACCGTCACCGTAAATTAAATGCGGAAAGAGCAACAACCACTGTACCTCGTTGCCCGTGAACAATACGTACGTGCTTCCTTATTACTGTTATCGAAATTACTTCCCGAGCCTTTGACTCTGGAAAATCACTGTCCCAGTTAAAAACATCACGAGCCACCCGCTGAGGTGGAAAATTCGAGGAGAGGCTGGTTTTGACTCTGAACGCTGAATCGTGATAAATTGCGCATACCGGCGCGCTTAATTGTCCGCAATGTGTTCGGTGCGATAACTTCCAACTAGAATTCCCTTACGATTTTTATTGCCGCTTCTTTGCTGACGTACACTCATGGCAATTACCATCACGTTTCGCATCAGCTGATTTCGCTACGCGGACGCTAAATACCGTGCTACCATTCTGGAGAAACAGTATCACAGTCAACAACGAAATAACACCAGCACGGTGGAAAATTCGAAAAACGGTTTGTTTTTACTATGGATGCCCCTGCACCTTGAATTTTTTTTTATTATTTTTGGCAACATTTCTGCCGTTTCAGTTTTCAGAAAAAATTTGGTTTAGTATGAAAATTACGCTGGGTCGTGGCGACCCAGATTTACATCCGGTTGCCAAATGTTTAAACATTTCTTTACCATTCAGTCAAAGAACATGAAAAAATTCCCACCCAAGCAGAAAGATGTGTACTATCACTCAAAATGTTTATGGCTGCAGTACATTGCTGCTCTACAGAAGAAAAAAAATCAAATCCGCAACCGGTCAACAATGTTGTTACTGGTTACGTAAGGGAATCTGTCTCTTTGGAAGCGATATCCTCGTTCGAACAGTGCAGTCATGAGAGGCCACAGAGTTTCATCACGGGGATACTGAGATCCGCGATAACAGTATCTAATTGTGGCCGCCTTGCAGATATCGATGTCTGTGAGACCGATTCGAATGACCAGAGGTGTTCCATCCTGCCAAGACTGGCAGATGAATGGGCTCTGTCCCACTATTGCCCAGCACAAATAAACTCACTATTCTTGCTCTCATTAGTCAGTCCTGCCCTCTCAAGGCAAAATCGCCAATTAAAGTGCCTGGGTTAATTGACCCATGTTCGGGAGAATCGTCTCTGAGATATGTTCGGTTCTATAGGGTAAATAATTATACAGTGGCGGAACAAAACTGAATTTGCCGTAAAGCAAGCGTAACCGGTTTCCTACTTGGTGGTCGGGGACCGCTCTGATTTCGCCCGATGCTTCAACATAGAGAGAGTATATCGGTAGAGATCAGTACACACGCTCTGTATGCTGCAGCTCCTATCCGTCCCCGTCCCCCTGTCAAGAACTCGATTACGCTTGCTTTACGGTAAATTCGATTTAGTTCCGCCGCTGTTTAATATTAATCACTTTGATTCCGTTCTGGAGTCCTATGCTGTGATTGCGCAAGTAACCGTCAGCTTATTTGTGCTGGTGGCCAATTGATGCCGGCGTTGTGCTGACCGCCCTGAGAATCCATGGCTGGTCGACCAGGTATGGTGTATTTATTTTCACATGAACAATATGTAAATAAATCATATTTCTGGGCGTGGGGCGATTGAGGTTATTATTTAAAACACTGCTGTATGGCGATTGTTTGGCATTTCCGGATTTTCAAATACCGCGCTTCATCGAGTCCGATAACTCGAAGAGCGGTCGGTGCTGGTTGTTGCTATCTTATGACGTATAAGCCTTAATACGAACGCTTCTGTAACTCTGTTTGGTTTGCCGCATATTAGGTTATTTTTGCATTACCGGATCATCTACTCTAGAAATGGACGAGAATTATGCTGCGGAGTGCGGACTCTGTATTAATCTGACCATTTTTTTTCTTTAACTTCTTAATTGTCACGGATAAAGAACCAGTCAGTACTGCTTTGAAAATTAGATTAGGAAATAATTCAAACGTAATGTTTAAATGCATCCAAATACGTAGTTTTCACGATATATTTATTTCGTCTGCTGATGATCTCGCCAAAATGGCGCTGCCTTGTCTATTTCGATGGAAGGAGCTACAGTTGCAGCGCATTAGTATTTCGACTGTTCCACTAATCGTTAGCTGTACATTTATTGGATCTAACGATAATTATTGTGTGAGTGTGTTCTCCAGTGTATGGGCTGGCCATTACCGGACAATCAGCAATTAATCGGCATCCATATCGCCCAGATCGATACACTACGAAAATGGACGTTAATTAACTAATGAGTTCCATCCAGTTTCACTTGTCGCCGATCAATCAGACCCGGAAACGCGCATACTCAGCCAGACCAATCAAATCAACCCAACCTGTCACAGTGCAGATTACTCGATACATATATAAATCGTTTCGTCTTTTTTATCTGTCCGCACCGCACACGATACAGCGCGCGTATTCCTTAAACTGAAGCGAACGTTGAACTGCAGCGATATTTAGTGAGTGTATCTTCATTCCGATATGACGACGCAGACGATGAAGATAGCCAGATGGACGTATATTAAGCCATTAGCAGGAATTAAGACAACTTAGTCAGCACGATTAGCATCGCGCCGGGCTTCTATTACCGTGCAGTGTGGCCGATGCTGGACCGTGGTCAGCCATTGTAAGTGATCACGGTATGATATGTGTATGATATAGGTATACGATACGGCAAGACGCCGTATCGTCCTCTAATCACCGGCAAATTGGCATGCGCCCGCGTGCAGACCAGCGCGCGACAGATAAGCCATCAGTTTATAATGCTTTAACCCGGCGTCCCGCAAGTCGTAACACAGCCAATTTGTCCTAACTACCTGCGTCCCAACGCATCCATCATTTCGCTTCATTACGACGTTCTAAAATCAGTTTATGACAGTTTACATATTTAGGCAGGCGTCCAGAATTTAGGCGCCCGAGTGAACATATTGCTCGCACGAAATTTTAACATTGTAATACTGTTTTAATATTATTGCCCCGACCATCAAAAATATTAAATTAATGTTCCTGAAAACAAACGACATACAAATGCCATAAAATTATATAATATCAAAAATAAATTTTGGGTGTGAATTAAGTAGGTTTCAGACCTGGGCAGTTATAGAAAATTGGCCTACAGTTAAAGTTAAGAGTTACAGGGAGCGTGCAAGTGTGTTAAGTTATTTCTGCAGGAAAACCGAGTTCCGAGTTACACCGCGAGTTACGCTACCATAGACAATATATAGAATTTTTATCAGAGTAAAGTTAGAATTAAGTTTTCTTCTGAGCGAGTTACTCTAAAGAGTTAAGTTATAACTCAATAACTCGAAAATAACTCGCGTTAAGTTCAGTAGTTAAAATCGACTGCCCAGGTCTGGTACTAGGTTTAGTATAAATTTTTAACAAATCCTATCAAAACGTACGAACTTTGTTAAAGTTACTCGAGCGGAAATCGCAGAAGATGCTAACTTTTTCCTAACTCCTGCCTTTTTTTCCGTAGGATTTTTCATATTTTTTGTTTCAATTTGATTTTTTAAATTTCAACGGTTAAATTCTCATTTTTTTAAAAATTGAAAGATAATCTCATTTAACACACTCAGCGCCGGGAGAATTTTTCGGACGGACATAAAATCGTTAAATTATAATCGCAATAAAAAAATAATTTTATGTAGGCGTCCAAGGTACAGAAGCCTTCAAAAGCGACGATTTTAATACGTTCTTGAGACCCATGTATTCAGCGATTATTGCCGATAAACCCGGCAATCTGTTCGGCACACAAATGAGCCCACGCTTAATTCTCGTAGGATGGGCAATCAAATAATTCAAATTGCGCGAGATGTGCAGCCCGGTTACGACGGCCCATCTTCCGCGCCATTGAGCAGCATTAACACCGGGCCAGCATATAATCATCGGCGATAAATATGCGAGCGCCCCGGTGTGTATGTGTCAATCTTCGCCGCTCCGTTGACGAGATTTCCGTGAGAATGGAAATTGAATCAACGAGAAAAACACGCATAATTGCTGGATGTAGCAGCTTGTCCGACCAGTTGGCGTTGCTGTTAAGGCCGAGGCCGGCCGCGGCTGGAACTGCCAAAACCGGCAAAAAATCGCGACACATCTCACGCTCAGATGCGCCGTCACCGGCGCGATATCGATACCTGGACGCGACCGGTGTATTTATAAATTTACGCGCTTACATTAACCACACCCTATTCTCATTAAACTGTGCATTCAATGAACGGGCGCTTTTTTCCTGGGTTTAATAGGCGGCAATTAATTCGGCCGATGATGCTTGGTGCATCTGTCCCGTGAGTTGTTCCTTAGCCGAGCCCATTTTTAAATGTTTCCTTTTTGTCAAAGTACCATTAATTTATTTTATTTTGTTCTTAATTTATTATCGAATAACATTTTCTAATGTAAAAAGATTTTATTTCCATAATAATTGTATTATTTACTCAATTCTTGAAACAGCGGATCGGTATTGCGATAATGCGCGGAATCGTAGCGTGTGTGCAAGGGCCGTTAGCATGCGGCCTGAAGTGAACTGCTGTACATGCAGAATTTTTTTCAAATCTTATTGCCTTCTGAATGACGGATTAAAAACAATACTTGATAAAATATCACAAGATACTAAATGGTACTAAACAAATTTTTTTTTGAATTACTTATTTAATTTTAATATTCATTAATAAGTTTTTTCATCGTTTTATCGACTAATGATTCAGTTTTTAATACTCAGTAATTTATTTGAGTTAACATTCCTTGGTTATTTATTTAAATAATTGTTTGGGATTGTTCTTGTACCAATATATAATACTTTTATTAAATATATGTTATGGTACTTGTATTTATCGGCTTCGTGCCAGCTGATGCCGAAGCGGAATCGTTTTAAACGTTTCTTTATGGAAAAGGTAAACTGAAAGGCGTCAGTGTTGAACGTTTGATACAGTCTGCGGGGGCTGTTATTGTCCAGCCTCCGCTGACACGTATTAGCCCCGTCATTATACCGTTTAAACGCCGGGCCAGCATCATTAATAAAGACACAGCGCCACAATCACCGCTATTGATCCGCGCGATCACCGCGGCCAGCCACGCCACGCCATCGTCTTCATCAGCTGTGCAGCAGAATCGCACCGATTGTTACCCACAACAATCTCAATATTCATCCGTGCACGGGACGAAACAATCAAGCGATGGGTATAAATACACATTTACCGGGTTTAAACTGTAGTCGCACTGTCTGCGGCCCGGCAATTACCCGATGATTAGCCGGCGACCGGTGGGCGGGGAGATGTCGGCGCGGCGGGCGGTCAAGCGGCGCGGCATGGCACGACACTGAACAGGTGAGTACGGATATTATACACAGTTACGCACAGCGTACTGTGTTGTACGTACAAGCGCACTGATTGAGTGCAGTGCAGTGCAGTGTAAATTATAGGCGTCGCTGTTGATTTTTAAAGCCGTCTATTTTTCTCTCTCGCGCTGTGTCTCACTGACTGACAGCCTGTACGACACTGAACAGGTGAGTACGGATTAATATACACAGCGCAGTGTGTTGTACGTACAAGCGCACTGATTGTGCAGGCAAATTAATATAGCCGATTGCCGTGCTGTTAATTTTTAAAGCCGTCCTTTTCTCTCTCGCGCTGTCTCTCACTGACTGACAACCAGTACGACACTGAAAAGGTGAGTACGGATTTACACACCGATATGACTGCGTTGTACGTACAAGTGCACTGATTGTGCAGCCAAGCCGATTGCCGTGTCCTGTTATTACCACACGGTGAGGCGTCACTGCTGATTTTACAGCCGTCTTTTTCTCTCTCCTTCTCTGTCTAACTGACTGACAACCAGTGCACGGTGGGCCGGCCGCCAATCACACCGCAGCGACCAATCAGCGCGTTTCGCACGTTTATTACACACACCAACGCATCGCGCGTTCAGGCTGACTGGCATCAGAAGCATAAACACCCGTCCCGTCCGTCATTTAATTCACCGATCACTTGACTTCGCAGTTTAACTTTAATCGCACTCGATAAAAACCACGATCCACTTTTAATACGGTGTTTTTATGAAGTGTGTATATATTTTATAAACTGCGTAGAATTTTTCGAAAATGCCCATTGAGGAGAGTAAGAAGAAGAAGCCGCTGAATCCGTTCAGCATCGACGCTATTCTCGGTCATCATCATGAGCTGAATGAGGAGAAGCCGCACCGGAATACTTACCCCTTTGCGCCTTTCGGGGGTTATGAGAGTTACGGAGGGGTGCTGAAGGTGCCGGCGCAACGGCCCGATCCGACCGGACCGTACCAGCATCCGCAACTGCATCCGGCGCTGTACGCCATCAATGGACACGCTGCGCCCGGTCATCATCCGGCTGGCCAGCATCATGCCGGCAATCTGCCGGCTCATATCAGTCCCTACGCCTGGATGGATCCCACCAGGAGGCTATGTAAGTGATCATTGAAATACACGTAATTACTTATTCATTGCGCCCGAAATTGTTAAGCTTCAAAGTGATGCCAATTCGTTCTTCAACGAAATTTTTTTTAATCAATTTTCGTTGCGCTCCGAAATTATTATTAATCAAATTTATTATTACGAAAAATATTATGGGAAATGATTTTTTTAACACAATTATTATTGTTAATCAAATTGACGGCGCCTCGAAATTATTAGCATTCGGTTGTTATTCCTTGATTCTGCGCTATTAATCCTGATTAAGGTCGTTTCAATTAAGCTAACGCAGTCAAACAGCATTCTCAGATTAAGTAAGTCATTATGAACTCGTTTAAAGCAAATCGTTGCACATTTCTTTCTAAGCGAAATTTAATTAAGCTCCGTATAAAAACAAATTTTCTAAAAATTGTTCCCATGTCAAGCGTAGTATTAAAAATAAAATCGGCATTTTTTTTTGCTGTATTAAATTAGATTAAGTTGTAAAATGATCCGGAAACGAGGTCAAGTCAATAATGCAGCCGTCACCGTTTTCGATACGGGTTCCGCTGAGTAAGCAGGCATTACGCAACCCATCGCCGAACGAGATCACGACACTATCGTGTTTTTTCTCTATCAACAGCGCCAGCCAAGCATGTTGTTTTTCTCTTCATCTGCATTTAATTGCAATTTCTCAAGGCCATCCCATTGGACGTCGTGGTGACGAAGTACTACAAATACTTGTAATTAGACAAGATTAATACTGCTTACTGTCATCACGGCGGCCCCGTTTCACTCTTAAATGGATTCCTTTAAACACCGCGCTCCTGTTTCGATTTATACGCGGCGGCGTAATTGCGCCGGCACTATTACGGGAATGTCTTTTTCCGCGACGTGAATGATGATTGCCTATGTAATGTAGTAAATGTACATTGCGGCGGGGGCTGATCAATCAGGCTAAATGGCCGCCTCTTGCTCGCGTCATGGGAAATGTTGTGCGACGCCCGCTGCCCTGGACTGTCGCGCTTTTTGACGCGAAGGAGTTAATTTGCTCAGCTATGATCAGCATGCGCGGCAAGCACTTGTTTCACACACACATCAACGTCATTTTATGTAATGCCCAGATATTTGTCGCCAGCTTTATTTAGCCGAAATATTATCAACTTTCCAATCATTCATTGGCGGTTACGATCGTTTAAATGGTATTCTAGAAACAGCACTTAAGACAACCCAGATAGTATGTCTAAAAGCAGAGCTAATTTTTGTTATATAGGCTGCGATTTATGACATTTTACATGCGCACAAAATAAAATGAATTTTGTTAGCTGTATTACTGTACTAAAGATTCGGGAAATAACCGATTTGCTTTGTAAAAAATTATTTTGTTAATCAGTGTTAATATCGGCTAGTAAAGTTATCCAAAAAACTAATGAAAATTATTTTTTTTAAAATAGAAAGCTGAAAATATATTTTATCGACTGAAAAATATTAATCTACAGTGAATAAAAGGAAAATTAATAGCGATAGATAGCCAGCAAATTTACTTAACTATTTTTTGTTTGTGGCGGTAGTTGTACATCTGTACTGTTTAATTATTGAATGGAAATTTTATAGTGACACGCCGCATCGGTCATCCTTATCAGAACCGTTCGCCACCCAAGCGCAAGAAGCCGCGCACATCCTTCACGCGCATGCAAATCTGCGAGCTCGGTAAGCGGCTACACTGACCATGACCTTTGCTCTCGCTCATGCTCTTTATTTTTTTATTTCGGCAGAGAAACGCTTCCACCGGCAGAAATATTTAGCCTCGGCGGAACGCGCACAGCTGGCCAAATCCCTGAAGATGACCGATGCGCAGGTAAAGGAAAAAAGCACGAAGAATAATAATTATGCCGACAGTTGACAATAAAGCGATTGTGTTGCAGGTCAAAACGTGGTTTCAGAACCGCCGCACCAAGCACAGGTGAGCAGTTAATGTGATGTAATGCATGTTAACGCCAACGTTGAATTGGTCGAATGTAGGCCAACGCTGTCGTCTGTCGATTCATTCGAATTTTGTCAAGATGATTTTAAGCGCGGCCGCTTAAAAAAACCCTTCATTTTTGTGCTAAATTATTTTAACCGTAAAATGGCCTTCACGCAACATTAAAACGAGGTTTATTTTTGTTGGAAAATTTTCGAATATCAGTTGTGAAAGTAGTGGAGAAACTGCTGTGAGCACCAAGCGAATTAATGTGATAATTTATGCAACGCCTTCGCATTAACGCGATTGTCAAGCGAATTAATTGTTCAGCCGGCAGCGGCGAGCATTTATAGCTGCTGCCCACAAATGAGCATGTTTTTCGCTCTAATGTTAATGTGATCGCTCGCTATAACATAACACACGATATCAATATGCGTCCATTCCATTGTGTGCTCCGCGTCGCGATGGAGTAATTATCGATTAATCGACTGCCGTGGCCGCGTTGCAAGATGGCCCCGCGCGCTGATCGATGTGTCGCCCACAGCGCCACCCGTGAATAAATGCCAGACATAACACAGCAGCAGCCTCATATACTCTCCACTTAATTAATTACTACAGCAATTTCCCAAACACACACACACACACACACAATAGGCATTTACGTGCGCTGCGATGGATAGAGCGGACATTTAAGGTTAAATGACTTGATTACTTAATTAGCTTAACAGCCACTTCTAGCAATAACCAACAAAGACTTCACTGACATCAGCTGATCTTATACCCCTAACATTTATTACAAAACTAAGAAACATAAGATAACCCAAGGAAAAGCCAGAAATTTAAGAAATCTAAGAAAACCTAAGAAAATCCAAGAAACCTACAGAAATTTTGGAAGCTTGGAAACCTAGAAACCTAAGAAACCTGAGAAACCGGCTGTCGTATAATTTTATCGTCGTACAGTGATTCACTTCTATTTCGCAATGAATTTTCGATAATAAAATGCTACAAGAAAAAAAACAGATCAGCTAATTTACAATTATTTATATATTGATGTAATTCTATTTTATTTTGATTGCCAATTGTGAAAAGTGAAAGATACGTAGTACTAAAAATATATGTAAAAAGGCTAAGATTTTCTGAGGGCTGAAAATACAAATAAAAATTTGAGAATAGAAAAATCGACGATTAACGCAAAGAATAATTTTCCGCGAACATAAAAGTATAAAATTAAGTTTGTTATTATAGACGTCAGACGGCGGAAGAGCGCGAAGCCGACCGGCAAGCCAGCACCCGCCTATTCCTCTCCGAGATGGCGGAACGCTCAGCCAGCGCCGGACCGGGTCCCTACGAGAGCCTGGACCCGCTGTGCCTCAACAACGCCTCTTTACACGCGCTGCAAAACCTCCGCCCCTGGATGAACCCCCTGGACGGCACCACCGAGGGACAACACCCCTCCAAGGACGCCGAGCACGACACGGACACCCGCTCCGACATCTCCCTGTCCTCCTCGGCCTCCTCCCTCTCCGGCGCCTCCACCGACCTCCGCCCGGGCCCCTCACCCCCGTAAAACCGCCGTCGAGCGAAGCGCGCGTGTCATGCGGGCATCGCACGCGCCATTGTCGCCAGTTGACCTTTAAACTTCGCCGTAATCTGTCGCGCGTCTGTATCAGTGACGGGCCAAAAGCTTTTAGTGGCGATGATGATGATAAGGGTATGATACGGGTATGAGCATCGCTTGATGAGCTCCATTTTGTCGATTATCTGGCTCGCTGCTTATCGCGGCCGATCGATCGGCGCTGCAGCAGCATTTTTCTATTAATGTATTCAATGCGAAAGCTAATAAAGCCCCTAATGGAACCGGTTGACAAATAAACCGAACACTTCTTACGGCATTATTCGTAACCTTCACTTTTGATCAATTGCTCGTTATTTTGATTGCCCGATACTCTTCAAAACACAATCTGGCGTAACCACTTTTAAATGATTCGGATTACTCACGAAGCGCTTAAGCGGAAATCGCAAAGGTCATGGAAAAATGATCCTCGTATTACCATCAATTTCGTGTATTGAAAAATAATCCAATCGTAATCGTTTGTATATTAAACTTGTAGAATGTCGATACATTTGCCTGATTTAATTTCGCGTAAAGTGAGCGTTAAACATTGATAGAGAAGGAAATAGTGATCTGTTTAGTCTGGAGAGAGTTAATCGCGCGCGCACTTGTAATAAGAGAAAATGAGATGGGTGTCAGAATTTCGATTAACACGTCGCGCTTGTCAGGGAGTATAGACATTTGGCTGTGCATTCCATTCCATCGCTACTTAATACCGGAACATAGCCGCTTAATACCATCCCATCTCATCATGATGAGTGAAGTGTTTCAGAATTGCATCCGGCACCGAATGAGCAGCAACAGCATCCGTCACTGGCGCTCATTGGCGTCAATCCCGCAGTGTACAAGCTTGTCCAGTAATTTCTGTCGTAAACGTACAGATAGCACATATTTAGCGCGAAGTTTGCGCAATGGCGATTGCCATTTGCCACTACACTACGTTTGGCGTAACACGCAAATTTCTGTATTTCGCTGTATTTAACCGGCAGAAATTACCTGCTTGTACAAACAACACGCGACAAACTTGTACAACCTGGTTCCGTAATTTCTAACGGAAAGCTACAGATAGCATGTATTTAGCGCGACGTTTTTCTCGGCTGATTTCTTTATTCTTTTCATTTGTACAAGCAATGCCATTTAACACTTAGACAAAAATTTTCAAAAACTAGAACAGTACAATAATTCTACGTTTTTCTTATTTACAGTAAAAATTAGCTGTGGACGATTGCCACTGCACTACGACTTCCACAATGACAAATTTACTCGTCTCAATATTAAATTTTAAGTAATAATAAAGGAGAAAGATTAATATTTCATAATAATGTGCAACCAGTGCAAAAAGGAAAACATTTCTGGTGTACAAGCATGTCCCGTAATTCTAACGTAAAGGTGCAGATAGCATGTATTTAGCGTTATGCTTCCGATTGTGATTGACTGCCACTGCACTACGTCGACCACAATGACAAACTTACTCCTCCGAAGATTTATTGTTATTGTAAATAAGTTATTTTAAATGAAAAAAGTCAATATAAAAAATTAATTCAGAAATTTAGAAGGTATTTTATTTTTATTTTATTTTTATAATTTATATCGCTAGTTTACAGTTTAGATTTGGCATATATTAGCATGTAGGGCGTACATAGTGTGGCGGGGCGCGCCGTAGTATGGACTTCGGCGTTTCCCGAGAATTTGAATTTATCGCTGCGATAATGCGTTAGAAAATACAGGATAAGCTGCTACAGGCTCTGCTTGATGCCTTGTTAATCAAGTAATGTGCCGTGGATGAATCCCGTGGAGAGATTGGGGGGCTTTGAGCGAAAAGGAGACAGGAGAGTGCAATTAAAATAAACACTCCTTGATCGTTTAACGGCAGCGACGGCGTTGGCTGCTTGTCGGCGTAATTGACCTGTCAGGCGTCAAGTAATCGCTGGGGAGGATAGACGGATCGGCCTGTGTGCCCTTCCGCCCCTTAGATATCACAACATCCCCGATCGCAGTCAAATCATGAACTTTCAACTAAACGGCACAACTATTTACTGACTGTTCATTCAACGCGCGACTGGATCGGTTTCCGGCGCAGTTTGACCTTTGTTATCCTTTATGTGTAATTCCGCGCACTGCTCCAGGGAATAGGATATGCAAGTTGCTCTTTTGTTCAAGCATTTACATTTTACTCGGCAACTCCAACGTAAAATTAAAAAAAAAATTCCTAAAACTTTCTTTTCGAACATAGAGTTTTTTTTTCTACATAACAGAATTACAAGGGTACACGAAATATTGATAATTAAGTATACATTATTGTTTTCAGCAGTTTTCACTTTGCCATTGTAGTTTATTAAATTTGGAATAAAATCGCGTAATCTTCACCTAAGATTTTTCGGAAGTCCGCGGTTTGATTTCGTAATGATTTAACTTGCAGCTGGAAAAAAAATGTTTGAAATTGTGATTCCCACTCTAAAATGGCAGTAGTGGCTACTTTCTGAAGTATCTGATCACCTTTAAAGCAATGCGAGATATTGATACCGGTCCCCATAAGAAAATAATTCGCAAAAAGCCAACCGGAAACCGGACTTGGGAAACTGCCCATGACATCATTATTCCGGTTAGTCTGAAGGCGCTCCAAGTGTTCTGTTAATTTCTCCTGTGAGAAAAAATCGCCACGAAGCTGGCAGAAAAAATTTGTAAAACTGTTAATTAAGGGAAGTGACCTGGTACATGGTTTTACCAAAGTGTCGTGTACGTGCACGAAATCTTTCATGACTTTCGCGCACTCCCAAATCGTTTTTCTGTTGTTTTATAACATTTTGTAGCCAGATGGTTTTGTATACACGTACTGGCGTGAAAACCGTTCGTGCGCGCAACATCCGGTTCGGGAGTAATGACTGCAAGAAAATTCCAAAAAATTTAAATGCATTCAGGTGTACCAAAAGTTCATTAATTATGGGCCGATCTCCAAATTTTGCATGTACAGGGAAAACGCACAGGGCCATGAAGATCGTTTTTACACCAATCCAGACTTCCGCGCTTTCGTACGCTTACAGTTTTGGCGGAATTGTAGCATAGGTCGTATCGACTCGTATGTACATGTTAATGTTTAAACAGGTATAGAAGCGTAAATGGCTCTCCTAATACGATAATTGCTAACATAATTATACATAATTTTTTTAATGTTTAAATTTTAACTTTCATGTAGTGCACCGGCGCTTGCAATCATTGTTATCTTGGCGGCTATTGCCCATTAATAATTTTAATTAAACGCGCTGCAGGGCGGTAGCAGTAAAAGTCTAATGGCTGTCAGTGAACTTACTGCCCGCATGCATAAACCCGTACAGAGCTGTGAACAGGCGACCCAACGATTTATCTACGATTCTTCCTTGGAATAATCATGACACATCCGTTGGCGCACGCGCGCTGGTTAATTTACTTACTGTATGTTATCAATTAGTATCGGTGACCCCCGACATTTTCGAAGCCCTCAAAAAATAACGCTGCGATGCTGTATCGATATCGTTGCTGATACATGGTGGCCGGTTACTGCACTAACGGTGGCTACGTGATAGAAAAAGACCTATTTAACTTTGTAATTACTTATTCTGATTTTGATGTGTGTTTTATATATTGCGTTCGTCAGTGCAATGGGAAGGGTGATTTTACATTTTTAGTAAAGCATCTGGCTACTGCGGGGATTAAATTGGAGGGTTATATGCGCCTTTGAGTTTACACAGACAGATACGTACACGTACAATAGTCGTATAATCAAACATCATAAATTTTAAAATTAATAAAAAAAATGAATGCTAATACCAGGAAAGTTTAAAACTTCATTTTTCAGTTTAAAAAACACGGCAACCGTCCACAGGTTTCCTTTACTTTTATCAGGCTGCTCTACGATTGCTTAACTTTTCCTAGACCGTTTTCCTTTCCTTTCTTCCTAATGACACCATTGCCGAATAAAATAAATGAATCACAAATTCCATAACGTCATTCTTATCACATTTTTAATACACGGTAAACCAACCTGGTTAACGCATCATAACAACACCTCCATGGACAAAATCATACGATAAATCATAAAGGAAATAAAAGTAATTCTGAAGGCATGGCCATGATGTTATCTGTACATACATGTCTGATGTAAAACTCTACACTATAGAAGTTATGTACCGTGATGAAGGACCGATGCCATAGATTGATTCCAGTGCATCCTGTTAAATTGACGTTTCACAGTGTTATCAAATGGGACGATTTTCAGCCAGTAAGCAATATAGGAGAACAAAAGCTCGGACAGTACGAGAATAACTTAGGGTTTAGCTGGTTTTTATTGAACGTATACGGTAGGTGTCTTTGCGCGCTAGTATTTTGAAGATTGACCTTTTTTCTATCAGCCTGCAGAGCTAAACTGTTACGATGCCAAACGTATCGTGGCTTTTACTGCTTGGTACCGTCGCTCTTCGCTGCAGCGGAAAAACTGACACCCATGATTTTCCCGCATCAGTTTTGGACGCCTTTAAAGACGGTGCGGCCTGGTTCGTTTCGGATCCGGACTATGCTCGGTGCATGACGGAATTCGTTGGGAACATCACCGCGGAGCATGCCAACTGGACCGAACCAATGCGCACTTCCAGCGCTTTGCAGGCGATAGTTCACCGACTAGCTCGCGTACAGGCAGGCAAATGCCGGGAACTCCTCAAACGGATGTTGAGCCGACCGACCTTCTGTACTGCATTTCCAAGCTTGTGCGCCGGGCGTGACAACCGAGGAAAACGGCACACGGGAGCGTCACTGGCGTTGTGTTTAAGATATCCTACGTTGTGCGGACTAGGAAGCATAATAATCGCGGGATAATCGCGGCCGGCACGTGTCATCGCGGGAAACAGCCAGAGACCCGAAGGTTTTCCATGACAGTGTGTGAGCTATCATGGCGCCTGACCACTACAGCGACAACCCGGCATGCTCACGGTGTACATAAATAACCCAGTCACGTATATTTTATTGCTTGTCAGTAAACTGTTTTTTAATTGTATGAATTCTCATTATACTACGACGCTTTTTATACTAGTTTCAATTTACATTCTTAGCTCTCATATATTGACATAATTAATACCGTAATTCAGCATATTTCTTGTCGCATTGTATTGTACAGTACTCGTTTAAAATCAGCTATCAAGATACGGAGTCTTCTAGCAGACTACATATGCATGCTTATATGCCTACTTACAATGGACGACAAAAAGAGGTTGAACCGATCAGTCGGTCCGCGGTTCCAAAATATCCTCGCAACGACACGCTACCAGTGAAACTTGGACGCTTACTTTCTTTGCACGCTACTTTAAAACTTTCGCTTCTCATGAATTACGAAACAGAATCACTCAACCAATATCCCAAAAGATCCAGAAAAAAATCACGAGATTTTTGATTCCAAATAAGTGGCAATTCATGGGAAGTGAAACAAATTATCAGTGTTTGTTTTTCTCATAGACTTAAGCATAGATTGCAAGCCAAACGGTCTTGCGCACAGATCCTATGCTGTGCTTACGAGAAAGCAAAATGGCTAGAATTTGTGTTGTTCGTCATAAACAGCCGCAGGTTTAGTATCAAAAAGTTTGGAATTTTTTTCTACACCTTTTGATATGCAATTTGTATAGTTGCACTCCAAAATTCACGGAGCGCGAACGTTTTGAAGTAGCGTACAAAGAAAGTAAGCGTCCAAGTTTCACTGGTAGCGTGTCGTTGCGAGGTTATTTTTGAACCGCGGACCTACTGATCGGTTCAACCTCTTTTTGTTGTCCATTGTATTTACTTATTATGACGCTCACTGTTATTCTAACACGTAGCCGGCACTACTAGCCGCCTGCTTCATATGCATTTAACACGTCACCTTCTTCGCGGCATTCTTGATTTTGTTATACAAAAAATTCCTGACATAAAAGTTATTTTGTCTGCTGGCAGTAATACGTACTAGTAGTGTTCAACAAACTGTTCGCTGCAGATGTTTTAGTGGGACAAAGAAACGCTTATTGCCAATGCTTTTCTGATAGGTCATAGATATTGTGTGATATGCGTCGCTTAAAATTAATAAAGTCGTACTGTATTGTACACAGCCGATACCTAACAACCGCTGTCGTAACTGTGTCCAAGGAAACCATTATAAAAGTTTATTACCTACAGATATGCAGTGTTTGCAGTCTGCAGCTAAAATGGTGCAAAAAAATATGAGAAGTCGTAATCTTTACGAAAATAACCTGTAAGTATAGCAACTACGAGTACTTGCCTAGCATGTCAGCTTGTAACAGTAATAGTACTACTCGAAACGCACTTTAAATGCATTCTGTAAGATACAGAGCCGGGAGTTCTGTAAAAGTGAATCTACCAATGGTACAGCGCTGAATCTTATAGAGCGCTACAAAGCAACGAGACCACGGACTGTAAAAGCGCCCAGTTACCGTAGTTGAATTGGTCAACGATTTATTTTTCACAACAATTTTGTGGCAGTTTCCTTTCTGTTTTTCTGGCGATTTTAAGTTTTGTTAAGTTGAAGAAATCAGACGACTGGTGAAAAAGCGAAAGGCAATTGCACGTAAAGTACGCCTAGATGGAATTTTACCATTTCTCGCGCTGACGGCTATGGCGACGTTGCCTGTTGCCATCATTACAAATTCAAACATGCACAGTCGGAGCAGCTAAAAACAGTGAACAAAGCAGAACTGGAAAGTTGAGTCGATAGAACCAATTAAATTCCCGTTAATTACACCCTCAAAACTTGAAAATTAAAAACAGGACTTGAACTTACAGCGGACTGTGCATCCACATCAAAAAATAAATTTGACATAGCAAGAAATGCGAGTTTGTATCTTAATCGGAGCCAGGAGAGTTCCTTTTAGATACAGAACACCTTAACTCGGGCGTCCAATCAGCGGTATGGGGGTGGTATCAAATCGTTACAGAACTTCCGGCTCTGTATCTTACAGAATGCATTTAAAGTGCGTTTCGAGTAGTACTAATGTATCTAGCGCAAACAGGATCAAGTACATGGCAGAGTGTGCACAGCTGGCAGAACTTGCTTGTTTACGGGCTTGGCTATTCGAAAATAATCCAAATCAAATCTGAATCAAATCAAATCAGTTTAATGAACTTCTGCATTTTTACGAGATTCTACTTAATTACTTTAATTTTCACAGCATATACTCGGAATATAAGCCCCCCCCCCCCATTGGTTAGGCGACCGGTACTCATTGAACAGTTGAATTAACATGTAACTGTGGAAGAAATTCTAGAATAAACCGGTTGCATCTGCAGTTTGCCGCGCGCAGTGTGTTATCCAACAACTATTCGTTGTTTCTTCAGGTTGTTTGTTGTATTATGATTATTGTTTTCGTCTGTACAGGAGTTGTGAAAAACTAGGGGAATTTGTGAAACTTATTAATTCCAAGATTCAATTATTAGCTGCTGACCACAAGAAACGAAAGTGGAAACTGCTTCTTCCATGCGTATTATAGCAAGCTTATTCTGCAATGCATCGTATCATAGCCGACCACACTGCATCTATGGGTTGAATGAGTCTAGACAACTGGAATATTTAATAATTTTGTGTATTAATGTTTAAAGGCAACATATAACGGCTGATTAATACAGCCACAACACGCGGCACTTCCAAAACAGCAGAACAATTTTTAATACTTTAATCAAATTGTACAGAGGCTCTTTGAATTATGACCAACAAGGGAAGCGACTACGTTAAGTTTGCCGGTTAGGGGCGGAATTCGTTGTCCGTAGGCGGCGCCTCCGGGGCGTGGTGTCGGCGCCCGCCCTCCGGGGATCGGGGTCGGTGTGGACTGTATTTTCAGCGTCGTCGGAGCGGCCGCGCGGCGTTAGCGTTTGCGGGCTACTTCCGGTCGTCGCGGATAGGGACACACTGCCGGCGGAAGTGGACGGGGAAGGTCTCAACGTGGTGGCTGTGGGCGGATATGCAGAAAAAATGTAGTATCACAGTCAGGCAACTAGGAACAGGATCCAATTCGCACGCGCGGCTCAGGCACGGCTCCTTGGCGTAATTCAGAATTCGGTCTATTTACCAAAGTTCCCGAAGCCGTTGTTACCGAACAAGCTGCCTCCGTCTGTCAAATAACAAAAAAAGTAATTAATTATTTATTTATTTATTTAAAATCTGGCAAAAACAATTTCAAACATTGAAATTATAAACACAATTTAATGCCAGTATTTTATTAAATTCCAAAATTTATTAAAAGGTTTACAAATTAATGATTCAGAAAATATTTTAGTAACCAACTTAATTAGTCAAAATTGTTTTACGTATTTCAAAAACTCAACACAGAATTATGGAAATTAATTATTATTCAGAATTTTTAAAAATTATTGATTCAATAACATAACTTGTTGATTAAAAATTAACTATGAATGGATAAATATAAATTATGGCTATATACAAGTATGTAAGAATAACCGGCAATTAAGCTTACTGAAAATAGAATTTCCGTTGTTGTTACCGAAACCACCGAAGCCGGAACTGGGAGCGGGACTGGGCGTGTTATTACCGTTATTATTGTTGCCGGCGGACGGTGCTGGCGCCGGAGCCCGGTTGAAGCCACCGAACGAGCCTCCAAAAGGGCTTCCGGAGGAACCAAAGGGGTTAAACGAAAAACTGGGAGCCTGCGCCGCGGGTGCCTGGTTATTCGTGTTACCGTTGGTCTGGGTCGGAGGAGAGGGCACCCGATTCACCGGCGTACGATCCCGGTCCCGAATAAACGAGGTAGGCGCCGCCGGGGCTGGCGCGGGTGCTCCGGAGCCCCCGGAATTAAACGGGCTGTTGTTGTTCCCGAAAAAATTGAAGGACCCGGAGAACTGCGGGAACGTCCCGCTGCCGCCGCCCGCTCCCGGTTTGGAGAAGGCGTTCCCACCGAAGGTGAAGCGCATCGGTTGGGTGTTGGTGTTCTCGTCTTGGCTGCCGTCCGGGCGGGTGCGGCTGTTGGTCTGCGCGCCCTGTTGCGCGCCGGCGGAAATAGCGGACTGTCCGCCGGATTGGGCGTTGCGGCCGCTGTCGCGGGTGGACACGCCGGTGTTGCCGGTTAAGGCGGGAGAGGGCGCCGGTTGGGTATTGCTGTTCTGGTTGAAGGGGAAGCCGGAGGAGGGGCTGTTGAAGCCGCCGAAGGTGCTGAAGCCGGTCGGGCTGCGATTGGGGCTACCGCCCTGCGGGGAGGATTGGCTGGATGGGGGGCTTCCAAAGCCGCCGAAGTTACCGAAATTCCCGAAGCTGCCCATATCAAACTGGCATTCTAGAATGAAAATTAAATTATAATTAAATCAACAGTAATTTAAATAAAAGTATTCGCTGCATATACATGTATATACGTGTATATTTTCGGGGCGGACAAAACGTTATGCCTATAATAAAATATATTGCGCAAATATTTCAAAATCAGAACAAATATTATGCATAATTAAATAGAAACATACTTCTAGTAAAGTATAAATTATATATGAAATTCTAGTAAAAATAAAAAAATTATTGCATATATATTTTTGGGGCGCAATAAAACCGTTATGCGTAGTTTATTAAAAATATATTGTACATACAGTATATTTTCTAGAGTAAAATAGCATTTACATTTATGAGAAAAATGTTTACCTGAAACTTTAGCCACGATTAACAGGATGGTAGCAAATCTAAAGCAAGCCATGTTCAATTCGATTAAGGAAAAAGGAAGTTGGAAAAATATAAGGTAGAACAATATTATTCAGCGGCGAAACGAGACTGATTATCGCGACGCGTTGACATAGAATAAATATTCAACTGCGACCGGGTTTCGTGTATCTCAGTTATGAGTCGCGGCAGCGGCAACAAAGCCACAGGAGTGACGCGTACGTCGAACGCTTCCGCCAGCCAACAATACCTCCTTAACAACCGGCGCAATTGGCTTCCAGGTAGCGCTGAATAGAAGGCGCTAATATCGGAACACAAGACTGTATAAAAATATTATTATACGGTAATCACTGCATTATGCAGCTGTCTACCCGGTAAAACGGAACCGGCAACAAAGCCACCGGAAAAGCAGCGCCCCAGGGGCGAATGCATAATCTATAATGTGTAAGAACTCTCGCTTGAAATAAGCTTGAAATCAACCAACCGAAACCGGCTTCCCGTCTTCTCTCCGGTTTGCGCGGAAAGCGTGCAGCGAAGGTCAGAGCGGTTGTTTCGTCACACGTATCTTTCTGTTAGTAATATTATTAAGCGCTGATGAATTTTTTACCAGGAAGAAGCAGGTATATTACTCTCTGTGTGTGCGCTGTTTATACGCGCTAATTATTGGTTGTTATGTTTTTTCAGCGACTTGCTACTTCCTACCTCACTGGAATCGGCCGCGTGGCTATAAACCGGCTCGCGCCGTATGTTCAACTGCACACTGTACAGTCGTATGATTATGCGCAGTGGCCGTATATTATTGGCAAGAAACCTGTGTATTTTCCTAAGCACTTTGCGTGTGACAAGTTAAACATTTGCTGCGCTAAACGACAAAGTTTTTAACTGTGTAATAGAACTTGCGGAGTTTATTTCCCAGTCTTTCCTATAGCTTCCAGTATTCCCGTTGTAATCATGTTATCCGTGGTGTGTCAGTTACTTCTCGTTTGCTTAATCAGTGTGAGAGCGCAATATGGCGTTCCGGTGGCAGCCCCTGTGGTCGCGGCGCCGGTGCCCGTTTCTTACAATCCCGCGCCAGTGTCCGCTCCCTATAATGCCGCGCCTAGCGACGGATACGCCCCTGCTCCCATCAGCCGGACACGTGAGTACAGAAAATCGGTTTTATGTCTATGTTTAATTAAATTTTAATTCGTTTCATTTAAATTTATTTATTTTTTGACGTATATTTACGTTTTCTTTACTTCTGAATTTTAATATTGCTTATTAATTTTATTAGTTGTTAATTTATGTATTTAATCATAGTATACGCCTATACGGTACAATTTCAGACCTTTCTATTTTGGTAATTTTTATATATCCGTTTGTGATTCGAAAACGTGTTTGTATAAAAATCATTAAAATAATTCCATTCGAAATAAGAAAAACATTTATACGAGTAAAACACGCACTAGTTCCTTGTGATTTGCCATCGTCATACGATCTGAATTTTTTGTGTGTTTGTTTAATCAGCTTAATGTATACAACAATCAGGAATATGGAAAAATAATAACCGATTAAAAATACGGCTAAAAAATAAATTAATAGGGATATATAATAGGGATATATATTATTAATAGGGATATTGCATTATATAAACCTGTATATATCGCGGGCATCGGCATTTACAGTAATACCGGTAACTGCAGTTCAGCCCCAACCTGCGCCGATGACATTCCAACCCATGTCTTGGCAGCCAATGAGCTTCGGGATGTCCGCCATGAATCAGAACCAGCAGACGGCCGGCCAGCGTCAGACCCAGGGCCAGTCAGCATCCACCGGCGACGCCAGCGCCGATACCGGTGAAATCAACAGCGCCCAGACTTCTAACACCAACACCACCGGCGGTCGCACCGTCTCCCAGGGCGGCAGCCAGAACCAGTGCAGGGGGACGACCTGTGCCCTCACCGGTGCCGCCCAGGTGGGCACCCAGGGGCAGTTCCAGGGACAGAACCAGCAGATGGCCGGCGCTAATACCGGTTTGAAGGTCAGTGACTTTCAGACTCCAAGTTTCTTAGATTTCTTAGGTTTCTTATATATCTTGGACTTCCGGTTTCTTAGATTTTCGGGTGTCTTAGACGTTGTGGTTTCTTAGGTTTTTTATACGGGCCGCTTTTGTGGGTTTCCTAAGCCTGTGCTATCCTAGATTTGTTGGGTTTTCTTAGATTTCTTAGTTTCCTTAGACTTCCGGTTTCTTAGGTTTCTTGGGTTTCTTATACGTGCAGTTTTCTTAGAATTCTTAGGTTCTTAGATGTGTGGTTCCTTAGGTTTCTCATGTTTCTTATGCGTATGGTTTTATTTACAGCAAGGTCAAATGCAATCCAACGGCTTCCCATCCTTCGGCCTATTCCTCGGCAACCAGAACATGGGCCTCCAAAACCAATTCCAATCGCAGTTCACGAACCAGGGCTCCGCGACCGGCACCGGCAGTGTGGGCAGTGGCGCCGTGACCTCCAACCAGAACACGGTCGCCGAGACCAACAAACAGGGTACCAGCGTGGACTCGACCAACCTCGGCCAGGGTACCGGCACCAACGTCCTGACCAACGGCGCCGTCCAGGCCGCGGCGTCCGGACAGATCGCCGACCAGACCTACGCCGGCACCGACACCAACACCAACACCGGCCTGACCAACGGCCAGGTCACCGGGTTGGACGGGACCAAGAACAGCACCAGTCTGAAGAAGCAGACGCAGGGGCAGTCGCAGGGGACCGGCGCCGCTCAAGGCCAGGCGGGAGCGGCGGAGGGTACGGCCAACAGTGGGCAGAACAGCAATGTGGTGACGAATGGCAAGGGAACGGCGGTCAGCTCCAACTCCATCGGGACGGCGTCCGGCAAGGGTCTCCATATTTCGGGGGCCGCCTCCGCCGGGGGTTCGTCGCAGGGGCAGAAGGCCAAACAGATCGACTGGTCGTTGTTTAATATGAACGGGATGAATGGGATGAACGGGATCGGTGGGAGTAATTCCGGGAATTTATTGAGCTACGCGAAATAAGCCGGTTTTGGTGGTTGTTATCGGAAGAGTTTTTCTATGCACAATTTAGTTGCAATACTCTGGTGACGCATCGGCAAGTGGTGCGTGAAATGATGCTGCTATTTTTTTTGTTCCTTATTACCCGTGATTTCTATAATTATTTGAAATTTCAGCGAATGTAGTACACACAGTATTTTATTGATCCTAACATGTTACGCTTGATACAACAGTGACTCTATAAAAAGAATGAACTGCGACAACTGTAATCTCAGGTGACATCTCAGCATACAACAAGCCGCCCTCTCGTTTCACTATAGTTAAATTCCCGTAGCATTCCCGTACTAGCACTTCCGGCTGCTCCCTTAATCTGCTCATCCCGGCCAACGTTGCTCCCGTGCTGCCGCTGGAAAAGGGAAACCAGTGTAAGGCAGTGCATTGATTGATTTGGGAAAGCCGATCATACGTTGACAGTTAACGTGTTTCTCTTAAAATCGTTCCTGATCTTCGAACATGCGTTCAATATGTCTAAAATAAAACAGCCGCTGCATTTCCTGTGGCTATTACGATTCTGGATGGTGTTCCACAACATCTATTCATTTTATTTCGTGTGAATTTGGGCGTTTATATGGGTAGTTGACAGACTAATGCGTAGAAAATTTCAACGCTACTTGTTGTGTTGCAGTTGACACTTATTAACTTAAGGCCGACGTCTGCTAGTCAATTGTTTAACCACGCGGTTGCATGATACAGAGTAGAACCAGCATTCTCTGTCTCTGGAGCTACTTCCAAATATCTTAAGATATTTCGAAACAGCGCCATAGAAAGCGAATGCTTGGCCAACAAGGAGCCAACAATTGTTGGCTCATTCGATCTCCCCGATCCGTGATTTCGATTTCCTTGCCGTCTGATAAGATCACAAATTTTAGTACAGATTCCCGTAACTGTCTGGAAAGGATCACTGACTGTAAGCCGGAAGTCCTGAGTACCTGGACGCAGTTCCACAATTAATTTTCAATGGCAGCGTGATTTGCAATCTAATTTATTTAAATTCACTTTCAAAATTAACCTAAAAATTCTCTCTCGGAATTCCGAAAAACAGTTTAGAAAGCAACCTTACCCAGGTTTGGCAATATCTATCAAAAGAAGTTAGTTCTAAATCATTTTCTAGAATTTCAATCTAATTTCTCAGTTCGTTTCCAAGTTCGGAAATTAATTCTTCCATTTTAAACTGCATTTGCGATTTATTTTCTTCTAATTTTTCAACAAATCTATTTCTTCCAGTAGAATTTCTGAATTTCCCATTTATTTCAAAGAAAGTATTCGCCGTATTATTGTCCAGATACAGTATAATCATGTTTTTAAACAAGGGTCATGAGTTTGCAAGTAATTTTAAATTTTACTATTTTCCAAATAATTTCTAACATTGTGCATGCATACCAGGGACTTTAAGATGAACCTTGCTGTTGTTTATACGGCTTTCAGCCTTTCACTAAACGGCATCGGTGCACGTGCTGTCATGAAATGCGTTTGAAATGGTTTGGCCGGTTGTGGTACTCGGGACAACCGGAAAGATTGTCTCATCAATAGAAGTACTGTTGATCTGCTGTTGATCATGCGCCGCAGCGATGCTTTCGTCGCTACCAGGCCGCCGAATCCGATGGCGACTGGTGCGTGGTCGGGTGCGTCGGCTCGGTTACGGCGAGGGCGCTGGGGGAGTTACCGCCACCGGAAACAAGCGTTTGACTGTATCGTGCCGTATCCGGCTGCCAGCGCCGGAAAACATTTGAAGGCTTCCCAGTTTTGACATCTGCATGCTGGTCTATGACGCCCCATATATGTGGCGTCATAACGTTCACACTGTTAAAGGACCTACGGAGGCAGCGTACGGGCCTGTAAGGCCCACTACCCAACCCTACCCTGTCCGCTTAGCGCCTATTTCCACCATCCTATCATCACTATTATAATAATTATTGTATTTATTTATTATTATTACACCCAGAACAGGTAACCCGGTTAACGGGACTTCGGCGCTTGTTCGGTACAGCAAGAAAGGTAAAAAAAACACCATCAAGACAAATCGATTTGTCTTGTTACTATTTTTTTCGATTTTTCGGCTGTGCGATTCTACTGGTTGGATTTCCGAAATATCAATAGTTCGGAGAGCTAACCTGTAAAGTCGCACGTACCATCAAAACTGATACCGCCAGTCCGCTCACCTGGACATTCGGTGGCATCACACTGTTAGCGATTATAATCCTGACAGTTGCGCTAAACGGTATGTTACTGGTATTTCATCTCACTAACTTCCGCCTTCTTCCGTTCATGTGTACAACTTTACGCTGTCGAGCTGCAATTTATGATACGGTTTGTGCTTTGGACCGCTGGAAATCATCAACACGATCTTCCCGGTGTGGTGCTGGGGCTTAGCCTGGTGCATGTTCTGGATCTATTCCGACAATGTCCTTCCGTTCTGCAGGTATTTCGCCCATGTTGCCGTTGCGGTGAGTCGGTTTTGTGCGGCAATCTGCCCGGTGCAGTATCACCAGCGCCACAATTCAACCATGTCGTCGTTGTCATTTCGGGTCTGCGCGGCGTAGCCGCTCATTTGACGCTTGTACCGGCTGTTGTTGTGGATGCGGTGCTCTACCGACGACCGGAAACGGTAGCCGGGCGCATGATGAACTATAAGGCGCCGAAAATGTACGCTTGGCCGTATGTCGCTCAAGCGGTGATCGGCGTTGTCGTATTTATAGTCCTGGCGCAATCTCCCGTCGTTTTCTACATTCGCCGGACGCGCTTACGAAAACGCCGGCAAGTACGCCAATCTAACTTGCCGAAGGCCGGTAAGCAAGGCCTTCTCTAACACTGACTCCAGTTTTCAAATGGCCACTGCACAGATACAGTGTAGGACTAAATGGTCGCATAGCCCCATACCCAGCATTCTGTACGCAAGCGCTGCAGTGCACTTGTACGAAACGGATATTTTGAACTCAGTCGTACAGTGCACTGCGCTGCATTCGTAAATCGTACTGAATGTGGAGAAGTTGGGTATGCGACCATTTCGTCCTAAGCTGTAGTCTTTAAAGCAACGTTAGCCCTGCCATTTTCTAGAGTAGTTATCTTTTTTTGTAAAATTGAAGAAGAAAGGTGCGTATTGCATAATGAGACTTTTCGATTAGACTTGTTTGAATTCTATTTCACACATAACGCTCCAGCTGGATGTTGCGTGTATATATATCAACGGTTTTTACACTTTTATACTTAAAGTGACTATAATATGCGATAAATCGAATAGCCGACCAAATGGCTTCATTTCGCTGACCGCTAAACCAGCCCAAATCTTACAGCGTTGACCTTTGTAGATAACAAAATGCCGAACCCGACACACCATCGACGCCTTCCAATACCCAACAAGCGAAACCAGAACGCAACGCTTTCCTCTTGCTGAACATTATGACTGCGAGCTTATTCGTATTCATTCATTCATTCATCCATTCATTCATGTATCAGGAGCAGACAACCCGTTTAACAGGACTTCAATGTCTGGTCGGTAAAAAGTGCAGCGAAAAATTACAGAAGAGATTATTTAGACAGATCAATAGTTTTCAGAGCGAACTTGAAAAAGCTAACACCGCTTACACTGAGTATCTGTGAATTAACTTTTTGAATCCGCTCAAAAACATTCTTTAACCGCATGGCCAGCGTGCTTTCTCCGATTTTCTGTTTCGCTCTGGCTTGGATTCGTTTCGGCTTCCTGAGATTGTAATGCGGTAACAGATCCTTGATGTCGATCAGTTCAACCTGGACACGTATGCTGGACACCTGTCGTAGTCTTCATGCCTGTCTTAGCCAAAGTTCAAAACCCCACGGTCATGTTCTGGATTTTCACATTAAGTGAACTGCAGCCCATAGTGTGTCCCGTAATCTTCATGATGTCGTTGCCTGACCTCCGTCAACTAATCCTTAGGGAATGCAATGCTGCTGCATCGTGAAATCGGGTTATCCTGTGGACGTTTGCCCTAGGATCAGCGATTTAGCGCTAGTTACCGGCACAACGGCTATTTTGCAGCAGCCTGCCGCGCACTATGATTACTGTGACTACCGCGCACAGTTATTAAGGCTCGATTATGTATGAAACTTTAGTCCCAATACTCCTCGTTAACAAATAAGCCACTAGGTGCCGAAAAATGTTGTTGTTTGGTGAACAATAAACGAACACGATTCTTAATTAATTGCAAAGAAACGTTAGCGAAGCAGTTCAACGTCAGTTCCTGTACAGTATAATATGTCAACCGCTGCATTCTTGTTTCTTCTACAGATAAAAACACCGACTTAACCACCCTGATGTCTCGCGTGTGGTGTAATTAATTTTATTTTGAACTTGTACAGGGAAATACTATTTACACTTAATTAATCTATACTATTATACTATTTACACTTATTTAAAAATAATACTATTTACACTTATTTACTCTTGATTGTGCAGTAATGGCTGTAGTGGAATGATTGACTGTTATGTCGCAGTATACATGTAAATCGGTATTAAAGTGTAAGTCATTATTTACACTTAAACTCAGATATCCAATAGTCAGATTAATCACTATACAAACTAAAACTAAGGACTATGCGCCAGGAATTTTCGGGGCGCATAGCTAATTAACTATGCGCCAGGAAATCTCATGCTCATGGAGCAGCGAAGTGACCATTTATTAAAACAAGAAAAATCTATAGAAAAAGGCATAACTGCAAAAAAAGACTTCTGATATGCCATCCGGGCCCGGAATCTGCCAGGATCGTTGAATGAGAAATTAGAAACCTAAACACCGAAGCTTGTGGAAGCAGTTCGAGAATTCTACTGGATGCCCGTCTATATATAGAAAAAATTGCCGTCCGACAAATCAGGAACTGAGCAAGAAGCGACAAATATGGAGGCAATCCGTATGTCTTTTCATTTGGCTGGATCCATGCGTTTACCTAGAGCGGTCATAGTCAGCACCGTTAGCTTGCCGACATCGAGCTCGGACAAGGTGGATACCGTCCACTCCCGCTGGCGGTAGTGCGTGGTCGGGCGGGGATCCAAACTCTGGTAATAGTTGAGGACCTACAAGTATTCGTATTATTTCACGATTCGACAGTACTGCAGCTCTTGTCAACCCTTGCAAGGGCTGGGCTAGGCTCGCACAGACTCGCAAAAAATCTGCCAATTGGGGAATCGAACCCACAACTTCCATACTCAAAGACCGAGAGAGGCACCACTAAGCTTTCGGCGCAGCATACAAAATGCATTGAAAGGTTCTACAGTCTACTGAACGATTTTACAGAGAGAGGCTGCCTCTCCAACACGTTACCCATTCATGGCGCACCCCCAAAGAAAAGGACGACGGCGACCTACCTCCACAATCTTGTCGCCCATCTTTACGTCCCGTTTGTGCCCAGCACATTCAGCAATCCTTTCCGCCAGTGCCGATCCAACCAACGGTTTCTTGAGAACCAGACAACTTTCGCAGAGATCCCACAGTTGCCACAAGACCTCTTCCTGCGACATCGGATTGCTGAATGCGTGCTGTGCTACAACGGCCCGTAGATTCTCATCGCCGACACTGCAGTTTTTCAGTATGACGGTATTGCACTGCCGGATTTCCATAATCAACTCAGCCAAGTTGTCGAGAACCCAGACAAACTGCATTCCCTCGCCGAAACGGCAGTCACTCAATACGAGCGCCCGTATGCGGTTTCTTTTCAGGATATCGTTGATTAGGTTGCGTGTGTGAAAGCACCTATGTAAGGGTAGCTTGGTAATAACTACCATTTTCGTAGTGCTGTTAAGGCACTTCAGCAAGCACGCTGGTAGCCAGAACAAGTCAGCCGTGCCCATACGCACTATCACATGGCTGACACCGCCATAATCCGCGTCTTCACGCGACACGCGCACATCGGAGAAGTACGCGTCCGTGGTAAGAATGTCGTTCCACAGGGGACAGACACGACGGCAGCGAAAGCGGTCGATGGAGTCCAGCGACTGGAAAACCTCCACCAGCAGTTCAACTGGTAGCAGCAGGCGCGCTTCATCAGCGCCGTCAGTAGGATCCGTCACACCGGCTGCATGGATGTTCGCTGGGCGAACCAGACGAAATATCTTTTGCGCTGCCGTTGACGTGCAGCCACTGGCCTCTTCTGTTTGCGCCCAGGCGTAAACGCTTTCCTACAACAAACCACTTTAAGGTAAGTAAAGGAAAATGGACCAGTACATAGCGCCAAAAATGGGATACATACACTAAAACTTTCGCTTTCCCGCGCTCCGAATCACTTTTTTTAGATAGAGCATTCCTAAAATATTCTACTTTTTCTCTGGACAGACTTTGTCTAGAGCTCTTGTTTTTCCTGCGAGTTTAGTGTTTTTTGGTCAACCTTTTTGATAAAATAAGAAGCCCTGCCATTTCTGGTTCGAACTAGACTGGCAGGGACAAACCATTTGACGGAGTTGATTCGCACGTCTCCTCGCTACTCAAGCGCGCCTTCATTACCACTTGTCGCTGCTTCACCCTGTCCCGCCTGAGTGCATTTCTCACATTTTCTTGATACTCCCAAGCCCATAACTGTTATCACATGTCGCCCTGTCTTCCCGTCTGGTGTATGGAGCCCTGCTAGGCTGGAGTTGGAGCTGCGGGGAAAAGTCTGCTGGTCATGGGGACGGACCGCGTGGGATCTCTGGACGTTGTGCTCGATGTAATCTGGGGCTAGTACTTCAACGCTTTGCGTTTGGCCATTCGACCGGTGACCTAGCAAGTACGTGTCATGTGCGTTTTTTTTGCGTGCATCCGACGTGTCATGTGCGTTTTTTCCGTGTCTGGTGCTGCTGAGAACCGTGGATCTGCATTCTGGAACCCTGCTGGCCCCTGGAACCCTCATTGCTTGCTCTCGCATTACTGGTGACTGCCTGTAGTCATTTTCGCGAACTCCCTGGCTAGTAAATCCTCCATGCCCTTTGAACGGATGAATGAGATGTGGGAGTCAGGAGCCGGACCTCTTGCTTGTTACGCACGATGTAATCTGGGGCTAGTAATTCAACGCTTTGCGTTTGGCCATTCAACCAGTGACCTAGTTTGTGTAGCATGTGTGGGTTCTGTCTTTTGGAATTTCGTCAGTCTTGTTTGTTTTGTTTTTAGAGATTGGTAGATTTGCTTATGTGCGGAATTTGTTTTGAAACAATCGTGTAATCTTGTGAATCACCCATTAAACTAACTTTTTGTAACACGTTATTATTAATCTAAAGTAAATGATTTGTATACAGTGTTCTGAAAACCGTTTGCGCGCAACATCCGCGGAGATATGGCGTACTAAAATGGGCGAAAAGTTTAAATGCATTGTTGGATACCAAAAGTCTGGTTATTACCCGATCTTCTTGAAACTTTGCAGCAATAGGCACATGGCCATAAAGTCGAAAGTGATCCAATATCAGATCCAATTATCTAAAGCATTTTTTTTTTCCGAGTTTAAAATGAATTTTAAAATTTAAACTTTTCGCCCATTTTAGTACGCCTTATCTTGGCAAAAAACGGATTCTGCGCGCGCAAACGGTTTTCAGAGCAATGTATACAAATCGTTAGCTTTAGAACGACATAAAGTATTACAAAAATGTGATTCGGAGTGCGAGAAAGCGAAAGTTTAAGTGTATGTATCCCATTTTTGACACCGTGTACCGGGCCGGTGTTTCGTTTATGATCTTGGATTTTCTTAGGTTTTTGTTTTCCTTAGGTTTTCTTCTTAGGACCTTCTACTACTCCTGGTGCACGACAATGCCATTAAACTTTTTCTCCAATTTTATCTGTCTTACCGTAAATCGTAAGACTCTTACGATTTACTACATGTATATCATTAACCGCTGCCTGATATTGTATCAACAATCAACTTAACAGAAATTTTGGCCTTTTAAATTTACAAAAATTCAAGTTTTTTGCAACAAAATAAATTGTGAATATTTACACAATCAAAGAATTAATAGATATTACATAACTACCACCAAGTAAGCCAATACAAAATTATATTATTATATTTTTAGTGTTGATATAACGAAATAAATCTTCAAGGATTTCTACTACCTAAGAACTACTTACCACTTGATGGGCCTTCAAGGGACTGGCATCCTGACGCTGCAGATAGTCTAGTGTTTGAGTGCACGAGGAGAATGCGATACACACGATGGGGAAGCGTCGCGTCAGGTGCCACTTAAACAGCTCTTTCACTAACTGCGATCCGCCTGAGCAACAGACCTCCGGCAGACGACAACATCGGACCACAAAATCATCCTCCATCACGCGGCTACCTTCATATTCCTTGTCCGTGGGCGGGGGGCGCAGCTGGCCGTAGGGAACCAGCTCCAAGACCCTCCCGTGGGGTAATTGCACCTTCACGTATTCAAAAGCCTCATTGATATAGCTCGTAAGGCAGGAAACCTCCCCCGGGTACCAGATCCACGCACCGTCGATCGGGCGACGCAGCAAAATCTGCATCACATATGCTGTGAATACGAAATCGTATTCGTCGCTGAAACGGAAGATACGGCCGTACTCGACGAACTGCGCGCGCTGTGCAGCACAGCGGAAATCAATGATCAGGCCGCCATTGGCGACGCCAATCACTTCGCCGTGCTGCAGGAGTCCATCGACCAGGACGTCAACGGCGTTCCACGCGTGCACCGGGTGTTCGTCGTCTCCGTACACATGCATCGCACCTTTTTTAGGCAGTGCTCAATCTCATGCGCCCAATTAATCGTAAGATGCAGTTAACATGAGGTAGCGTCATATATATGCAGCCCCAAGGAAAATGCACAGGTTCATTGCATCATACCAAAACCGCTTGCGATAAAATTGCCTTCCTTCTTTCAACAAGTAATAGGGCTGACTTTAAATAACATCAGTTAGTACACAGATCAGTGGCGATCACCACACCAGCGAATATCGATTTACAAAAAATGTCTCTTCGGTTTGCATTTTGGTGATAACGGTGACTTGCAGCCAGTTGAAGTTATCTGGACTTGTGAACGTATGCGTCACTCCGTGGGGGGTTGTCTGCCTTTACCTCAACTTGAACTCTCGAGTATCACGGCCCAGACTCCAACTCTGACTCTGACTCTGCTTCTGACCACTCAAACTCTGACCACTCAAACTCAAAGTCTGACTCTGACCGCTCAAAGTCTGACTCTGACTCTGAAGGTTTCTTAGGTTTCTTAATAGGTTTCTTAGGTTTCTTAGGTTTCTTAGGTTTCTCAGGTTTCTAGGTTTCTTAGGTTTCTCAGGTTTTTAGGTTTCTTAGGTTTCATAGGTTTCTTAGGTTTCTTAGGTTTCTAGGTTTCTTAGGTTTCTTAGGTTTCTTAGGTATCTTAGGTTTCTAGGTTTCTTAGGTTTCTTAGGTTTCTTAGGTTTCTTAGGTTTCTTAGGTTTCTAGGTATCTAGGTTTCTTAGGTTTCTTAGGTTTCTTAGGTTTCTCAGGTTTCTAGGTTTCTTAGGTTTCTTAGGTTTCATAGGTTTCTTAGGTTTCTCAGGTTTCTAGGTTTCTTAGGTTTCTTAGGTTTCTTAGGTATCTTAGGTTTCTAGGTTTCTTAGGTTTCTTAGGTTTCTTAGGTTTCTTAGGTTTGTTAGGTTTGTTAGGTTTCTAGGTATCTAGGTTTCTTAGGTTTCTTAGGTTTCTTAGGTTTCTCAGGTTTCTAGGTTTCTTAGGTTTCTTAGGTTTCTTAGGTTTCTTAGGTTTCTCAGGTTTCTTAGGTTTTTTAGGTCTCTGAAATTATTCTTAGGTTATTTGGTCAGAGTCAAAGTTCGGACAGTCTGAGTCAGACTTTGAGTAGTCAGAGTCAGAGTTTGAGCGGTCAGAGTCAGAGTCAGAGCTTGAGGGCGGGCCTATCCTGGCCCTGACTACGGCAAGACGTTTTCGATTGACACTTCTTGACAGTGGTGTTTAATATGTCGACTGTGATACTGCCACGCATTTCAAAATTCACAGTTGGCGTTCTTCCGGACTAGCTGGGCATTGGAATGTCGAGAAATGAATTCTCTACATTTAGATACCAAGATGACAGTCAGAGTCTTCCCAGGCAGGTAATGCGGGTTCTGAAAACAGCGCAACTACAAGTTCCCTTGGCTGAATTGAAGTGAATTCTACTGGGCATAGTATGCAGTACGCTGGTGGGGAGACCACGTAGTGGCTGACTGACTGTCTTCTGCATACTCCATACGTCTACGAAACTCGAAAGTTGTTTACTTTATTCATGATGTTTTGGAGTATGGTGGGTAAGGTGATGTAAACATATTCTACGTTCATACGAAAAGCCCCGTTACAGTAAAGTCCAACATTTCACCATCTATCAATTTTATCCAGCGTTGTTTCGAAATATCCCGTCGACCCATCGTGTGGCCCTCGTTCCATGATTTCCCTCTATGATCACCGACAAGCTACAAGGAGCCGTAAGTCCTCTGTATAGAGAAACAGTTTGCTATGTAATTTCCAAAGAATTTAGAGTTTTCTTATTTACGGTAATTGAGGTGTAATTCTTAGACTTTTGAATTGAGTTCCACATGCTCTTTCGAACTTCCAAGAAAAGTTTGCAGAATAATCATTTCTAAATTTGAAGATTTATTTAATTTAATTTAATTGCAATCAGAGCAGGTAGCCCATTTCCGACTAGGTTGACAGTCTAGCATGGGATTTTAAACCTGGCTGAATATTAAGAGTTATTGTCGAACAACTAGCATCCAATCACCAAGAATTTAGAAAAAACAGGCAGATAACAGAGCGGCTTTAAAACACGACAGAGAACGTAAATTAAGAACATCATTTATGATTTATCTGAAAATTAGTTCAGAGTCGTTTTATTATTTATAGTTTTACACTCCGATTCCAGCTTCATTTGTCAATTCGGTTTCAGATTTCCAAATTGATTTCTCCAACAGAAACTCAATTTCCAACATATTTTAAATTCTATTTTTGCAAATAAATTCTCAAATTTTAGATAATTGTCAGATCGTTTTCTAATTAAACAAAACTAATTAAATTTTCAACATTTCAACTTCTAATTTAACTGCTTTTAAATGAACTTCTAATTACATTTTCAACCTTTTTCGAATTAATATCCGAATAGTTTACCAGGATAATATGATTTAACGGCAAACTGTTAAAACCAGTTTGTCGTACAGTCGTAGTACTCGTATATAAATATTCAAATGTTGACTGAAAATGATTCTGAAATTTCTACATTACCTAACTTTTAAATTACTCACGCACTTAACCAGTTTTAGAATAAAATTTTGCTTTTGTAAATTACTACGCTGAACGCTTCACCCCCACAACAAGAGGTTGGAATACATTTCAACCGAAAACAACAACAAAACAGCGTGTTAAAAAAAAGGAATTTGGTCTGGTTAGAGATCCACAGGTGATTTTTGGCAACGAATGAGAGGAAATGGGTCGGGAGAAGGCGATACAAACTGAACAGATCCGTAGGGTGTCAAAACAGAGGATCCGACGGTGGCGGTCCATTCAAGTAAGAAATAGTCATTTTCCGGGGTAACGCACTTCGTCCAGCGGGAATGAGGGCGATGCAGTAAACAATTGCCGGTAGCCACGAACGGCGGACAACATACTGCAAAACACGTGTGAGCCAGATCATTTGGGAGGCAATGTTACAGACTTGGTATTTATTTTAACGTAGGTAATTTAAATTTTCTTGGTAAATCAGCATTATGGGAAATTTATTATTTAAAGGGAATTTCGGCACTGATTTAAACGGGAATGTTCAACACAGACACTCACTTCTACTTCGGAAGGGAGTTCGCTGCAGCAGCAGCTGCTTCCAGTTGAGCGATACGGTCTTTTAAGGCTTGATTTTCTTGAACGACATTCTGGTAACGCTGCTTGAGGTTATCCCCATTCTGGGCAATATGGGCGATGTCAGTTGGGGAATATCCTTCGATACCAAGATCGGTCAAGATTTTGGGAATATCGACGATATGGTACTCAGTTGGTGGAGAATTGAGCAATTCAACGAATGAGCTTTTCGGTACGGTGTCGCTAGCTAACAGGTTGGTCAGGTAACGATCAGTCTCGACCAACGAACGGTACACATAATCAGCATGTCCCGGCGTTCGGTATGCGCCATCCCACATGTTCTGACCGGGCCACTGAACCATGTCAGGCACGAAGTAACGCAAGGGGTTGAAACGGAGGGGATGTTCATCCACGCGCTGGAAGTGCTTCTTCTTCTCATGGTAAGAGAAAACGAAGCCGGTGCGGTGCTCATAGCGCCAGTGTCCGTCCTTAAAGTATTTAATCCATGGCGTCGTTGCAAACACGTCGAACAAATTTGGTTGAATATGGACGGGAGCAATAGAGGTAGACATGGGTACGGGAAATGAAGCGTACACTTTCCGCACATATCCGACGGCCGAATCGGTGGGACTGATCAAGGTCAAGAGGTTTTCGCGCATCTGTTTCAGAGCCTCAGCTTCCGCAGCTAAAATGGCCTTCTCGCGGGCTTCTGTAGGATCGGTAGCTTTTTGTTGCAGTAAAGGAATAGCTTTGGCCATATCAGCAAGGTATCGGTCGAAGCTACGCGACTGATTCCGTTTAATAAAGGGATTGTTGGGTAAGTCAGCCAGGTGCTTAGGTTCGTGACGCGGGACACTCGTATTAACATAGGTACTCTACCACGGGAAGTATTCTGAGCGGTATTCTGCTGGGAATTATTCACTGAGGTGTTGTTAAAGTTGCACGAACGACGGTAATCACTGGGATGTGCTTCGTCGAGACCAGTGACATCCGATTGTGGTCGTTCTTTGTCCACATGCAGGACCTCTGCACAAGAACGAGAATCAGACGGTGATTCGGGGAATTCGCCATTATCGTAATTATTAATGGTAATTTTAAGGTTTTCGGAATTATGGTAATTACCAGAGGGTTCAACGGTACGGGAATTACTGGCCGATGGACCTTGGTCAACCGACATGCGGGACTGCGAGCGCGAACTGGCCATCTTCGGTTCTGAAAAATACAGACAATGTACACGGCGACGACATGTTAAGCGAAGTATTCGTATAAATTATGGAGTACAGAATGCGCTTGTTTACGAATACGGTCAGATCGTCTAAATACAGGGTTTCTTCATTTTCAGAGCTAACTGGCACAACAGGCGGTACTTTAGGATCTTCCACATCGGTATTCACTGTGGTAGGTAATTTTGACACGGGAATATTGTCAGAAATAGTAGATTTCTGAGGGAATAAACGGCGTAAATAATCATTTTTACTGTCCTGAACGTCCAAATCGATCGGTTTAAACCGCTTTAATTTGGAAATATGGACGATATTATTTAGGTTATTTTCCGACACTCTCTCAAGGGACTTTAAGGTCACATTTCCATCGGGACTTAATGAGGTAATTTCGTATGGACTTTTGAACTTCAGTTCTAACTTCTGAGTTCGACCAACAGTACGTTGCTCATCTTTAATCCATACTTTATCACCGATGTGAAAGTGATTTTCAACTTTATTTTTATCATAATTCTGTGCATTTTTCTCATGCACACGGTCACTTAATATTTGAGAGAAATCAAGAGCATTTTTCCACTTTTGCCGTAACTCATTCCAGTATTTGGCATTGGTCTGCTTACTGATTTCTTGCAAACTGGCATTTTTAAAGATGGTATCAACGGTTAATATCGGTTCGGTAGCAATCATAAGGTAATATGGAGAGGCATTTGTGGTACTATGCTGAGTTGTATTATACGCGTAAATGATAAATTTAGCGTATTCAACCCAGTTATCTTGGTTCTGGTTAATGTACATGGTCAATTTTTCAGCGATGAATCGCATCATCCTCTCAGCACGGGTATTTGACTGAGGGTGATAAGCTGTGGTAAATCGGTGTTGTATACCGATCAGCTTACTAATCGCTGCGATAATATGACTGGTAAATCCAGTG